TCATGAGACTGTGTGAAGGTTTACGAACTGAGTATGCGACCAACACATAAAACATCGCATGCGAATTGTTATGTCATGCGATTCATCAAAGGTAAATCGTGTGTGCTTGTTGTGTGTTAGCTTAGGCCGCATTAAGCTTGACGCAACGAGCCTTCATACGCTTGAAACGCAACATTTGTTTGCATGCGAATTGCGTTGCGATATGTGTGCGTTTGGTAAGTGTTAGGCTGCGTTAAGCTTTACGCAATGAGCCTTTATACGCATGAAACGCAGCATGTATTAGCATGCGAAATGCGTTGCGAAATGTGTGCGGAAGGTGAGTGTTAGGCCGCGTTAAGCTTTACGCAATCAGCCTTCATACGCATGATACGCAACATGCATTCGCATGCAAATAGCCTTGCGGACTGTGTGCGTTTGATGTGCGAGTGGACGCGAATTGCTTTACGCATTGTCTCCCCACACGCACGAATCGCAATATGGAATCGCATGCGTATCGCCTTGCTACACATGCGCGTATGCTTCGCGTTTCAACATACGCACGGATAAATTGTTCAAGTCGACCAAAACGACGCAAGTTTATTTCCAAATAAACCTTTACAATCTGAAAATTATAAATTTTTAAAAAACTTGGCCAGAAGGGCCGATTTCCGCTTTTCCATAGCCGTTGTGCGTTAGCACTTTGCGTTACAAAAGCATGCTCATTCGCACCTAACGCTAAGATTCGCACCGTTACGCGAACTAACGCGAGCTAACGCGGACTTAACGCGATCACCCGTCGTCATAGTGATAGTCCCGGGGCTTTGACGGACATCCCCGCTTTGGTTGGGAACTTGTGACTTGTATAAAACCCCTAAGAGACATTGTACCCTGTGTTGGTGAGACGCTATCTCACAGGGACCTAGCAGACACGACTAAGGAGACATTAGCCGTTACACGTGTTCGGGAGATCCGCGACCTACCACCGAAAGCCCCTTTGCCTAGGCGTAAACGTGTGAATCTGAGATACTGTTACCGATAAACAGCAGAGACTTATAAAGGCTTGGAAAGCCTATCCCAAAGGACGAGAGCTATCAGTACGCTAGAACCTAACAGCCGTTTTGACGGGCCTCCCGAGACAGGTCCAAAGCTGTCACTCAGTCTAACATGCGACCTCAGACCGGCCTCAGCTGTCACTCACGATAGTCTGGCAAGTTACCCAAACAGGCCACAGGGCGACACGGCAACCCTTCGCATCAACACCCTGCACGTCCTGAAATTGATGCATGTTGACAGAGCCTTTGCCAAACCTAATATCTCTCAGTTATCGGTATCCATTGTGCAAGGCGTTCCTTCCTCTGATGCATTCTATCTGTACTTGCAAGCCACGTCCCCCCTCAAACATCGAGGCCCTTAACGGCTGGCAGCAGGGATGGCCGGCAGAAGTCGGCACTTGGCAAAATTACTTGAGGATGGCAGGATCAGCAATTTTATGCGATCCGTACAAAAATGGACGTTCCGAAAGCAAACTCGGCGGCCGGGCATATCGTCGCTCAGGACGGGAGATCGCTAGATCCCCAGCTTCCACGGGTATGCCCACGAAACAAACGAAGTGTCCTACATTTTCGTAATGTATACTTAGCCCAGCACAACGGTTTCCGATCCCCCGATTCCGGCAAAAGCATAGCGACATGCTGAATTTGTAACATTTAGGATATCTTGCGTTATTCATGATGCCATCATGGAAGGTATGCTAGTGTTTCTATTGTGGAAGGTCTTTGCGCTCCGAAATTTCCGTTGTTTTCGTTTCACTTGAATCGGACAGTCGGGCGCAACTGCTCTTTGGAAATGCGTTTCTGTCCAATTTTTTATTAAGATGAATCTCTAGTCTTGTCGCAACATTGGATTGGGAGATTGATTTCGTCACGGTCAACAATAGCATCGCGAACACATCGGAGGCTGCAATGCAACGATAACCCATATGGATCAAAGACTTAAAAATGTATGATGGGCTTGAATGCTATTGGAGATGTAAACCTAGTAAACGCGCCATTGACATTTTTCATACTTGCAGACGTACAATTTCTTCCTGAGACAGAAAGAAAAGGTAACACGTTTCCCTTAGCAGACAAGAGTAGGTGTCATGACTGATGGCCATTACATGCCTGCTTTGGGCCAGGTTGAGCGCGCGACAACGGAGAGTAGGCAGCGTTTACTGGCCTTACAAATCCCTGAGCACGAAGGATGGCATCCTGTCGAATTACAGGAACCCACAACTTTCTATAAGGTAAAGGAAGTAATTTTTAGCCAGCTCGGTGTAGCATGCGTGTGTTTCGCTGCCAGCTGGTGGGCGAAGCTGGGGTTTGAGGCGTTTTGAGGACATCGAGGATCCTGTCGCTTCGTGCTGATTATGGTGTATTCCTTAGTTTGTGCCACTCGCCAGTATCATATTCCGATGTTTGCACAGTGATTGCCATTGAAGGATAACACGGCTCGGGCTTCAATCCACAGATGTGTCCTGATAGGTCAACACTTTGCGGACACTTTAGTTCGATGGACGTGTAATGAAAGGCAAGCCGAAGAGGAAAGCCAAGCATGCGAGCCTTAGATTACACGGTAACTTGACGCCCTGTGCAGAATTTACCGGTATGATTGTTTGCATGGATGTCGAAGCGCAATGCTGTCAACTGGACCCTCTTCTTTTCCTGCCTGTGCCCTTGCTGTGCGACCAAGGTGGTTGCCTCTGTAGGAGGAGAGCTTATCTCGGTGTACGACGGCACCACCCGTTACACCGTGGGGCGATGGACGCTTGGAAAGTGCGGAGCCAATGGCTGGCCGCCGTTGTCGTCCTGTTACTACGCGTATAAAGCAGTAGACAAGGTAAATGCTGGGATAGACAAAGGCCTTGGCTTTAGAAAGCCATACTCTTAGATCCGCTTAATTACAGAAGTGCCCGCTTACAGCACTGCCCCTCAACTCTCAAGTGCTCACGCCCGACGGCCCGTCGCCATGATGAGTTCCTCGGCCGTCGGGGCTGGCGGTGCGGGAACACTGCTGTAGCACTGCAGCTTGGTTGCGCCAGCCAAAGTGCCTTCTGTGGTCGATGGATTGGATCTCGTGCTCCTTCTCAGGTGTGCATCTCTACTACTTTGTTAGCAGGCCTTAACCGCCAAGTTCCCCAAGGCCAGCAAGCACCTAACGGCGCCCAAGGTATGACCCTTCTCCTGAACCGCCCAGTGTACCGTGGCGGGTTGCCCTGGCTGATGAGGTCCCCGGCACAAACCCGGCCCCTAGGGTTACCCTGCGCAACACTGTCGCAGGGGCTTCAAGCGGGCTTTCGCGCATGGTTGTGGTCTTGGCCGCCAGTGGGAGTGTACTGCTTCGCCAGGAATGCTTCCTGTCCCCGTGCACTGACGCAAACATGGCCCTGACGCGTAGGTGCTTATCCAGGCCGTGGCTTGCGGCAAGGCGTATTACAACCCCGAGTTGAGCATGTGGGCGTTGTCAAGCGTACGGCCTGCACGAATCCTGCCGGACATCGTCCCAAAGCGATGTGATGCAAACAGCTTCGGCGTGCCCACTGATGCCGGTAGCCTCGAGTGCGCTCGTTTGGTGGCACAGCACAACACCAAGGCGCAGCCGTGGGTGCCGTGAAGAGCATGTGTTATAGGTCCATTGACATCTGGGTCGCAGCGCATAACCAGTGCAAGAGTACGATTGTTCATAACATTATAGCACATATATATTTCATAGCTAAGCCCGGGCGACTACCAAATGGAAGGATGGTGCTGGTGTTAGCGCAAATGTTGTGTGTATATAGAGGTGTGGATCCCTTTAACATAGCTAGCGGAAGCTAGGCGAGTACTATATATCACTTCGCCCTGGCCATTCTTGGCTTCGGCTGTTACCGGTGAGATACGAAGATACGAACATATTGCAGCGGTTCAAATAGCAATTGCTGGGTGCGGAGCTGCGTGAGTAGGTATGGCCAGAGGGTTGCAGAGATGGGGGATTGGGGGCAGGTACTGGTCAGGCGGGATGGGGAATAGGGTTGACGACGTCAGGATGGGATGTGGGGCCCAGGGCGAGGATTAGGGATTAGGCGTGCTACACTACTTTTGGGATGGGGATTGCTGTCGGGGGTGAGGATGGGGATGGGATCCCTGTCTGAGGGATGGGGATTGCAACCTTGACCAAGGAGGGGATTGGGAGCCCTGGCCAGGGATGGGGATGGGACCCTGGTCGACAGGACGGGGATTGCAGGCTTTCGCAAGTTTAGGATGAGGTCGCTGCCATAGGATTGGGAACACAGTTGGAGGATTAGAATTGGGTGTTCTGCTGTAAAATGAGGCTGCAGGTGCAGAACTTGGAATACTGACAGGACTGCAAAACAGGCCAAGGATGGATGGTTTAGTTCTCCATAGTTGCTTACATGGAAACTCAAACAAACACAAGGAGGTTCTGCTTGCAAGTCGCGTCCCATAGCAAACCAAACTCAAACACAAGGAAGTTCTGCTTGCAAGTTGCGTCCCATAGCAAACCAAACTCAAACACAAGGAAGTTCTGCTTGCAAGTCGCGTCCCATAGCAAACCAAACACAAACACAAGGAAGTCCTGCTTGCAAGTCGCGTCCCATTGCTAACCAAACTCAAACACAAGGAAGTTCTGATTACAAGTCGCGTCCCATAGCTAACCAAACTCAAACACAAGGAAGTCCTGCTTGCAAGTCGCGTCCCATTGCTAACCAAACTCAAACACAAGGAAGTTCTGCTTATAAGTCGCGTCCCATAGCAAACCAAACTCAAACACAAGGAAGTTCTGCTTGCAAGTCGCGTCTCATAGCTAACCGATGATTAAACGGGGATTCCGGACCGGCTCCGGTCATCGCCGGACCGGCTGCCGGACCAAAATAACCAGCTTCCAGTCCGACTGTGCAAGCGCCTCATTCACTTGGCACCAAATAAAATTCCCATTATTTTAATCAATCCAATTTTTTTGTTTTCTGTCGGACATTTTGATTTTGTGGACGACGAGCTCCATTAAGCCTCCCGTTCGCTCAACCGTTCCATCTAGCCTTCCATCAAGCCTGTTTCCCAGCTTTAAAATTATCAGGCTTTGATTTAGCTCATATGCCTAACGTAGATATCATATAGCTGCGCGCAATGGAGCAGATGTATGACAATGCGCGCCATGGCGGCAATCTCGTATGGGTCGCGGCTGCGGGGCAGGAGGTCGAGGATGCAGTGGAGCATGCAGTAGAGGAGCCGCCTCGGTAAGCTTACTTCAGCCTACTGTGCCTTGGTTTCATGGTGGATGGCGTTACTTCCTTGAGCTGGAGGCTATTGTCACCCCTGTGCACCCTGAGATGTACAAATGTCCTGTAAAGGCAGCGCAAAAGGTGACTCTCCGAAGAGTTCTGGCTAGCGGGGCTGGGGAGGCGGCAGCGGCGGTGCAGAGTGGTGGAACACGCAGCGGGGCTGGGGAGGCGGCAGCGGCGGTGCAGAGTGGTGGAACACGCAGCGGGGCTGGGGAGGCGGCAGCGGCGGTGCAGACTAGGTGGAACGGGTGGCGGGGCTGGGGAGGCGGCAGCAGCGGTGCAGACTAGGTGGAACGGGTGGCGGGGCTGGGGAGGCGGCAGCAGCGGTGCAGACTAGGTGGAACGGGTGGCGGGGCTGGGGAGGCTGGGCGACACAAGAAGCAGTGTACCAATGGTGGTGCTTCTAGATCCAATTGCGGCAAGGGTGCGCAGGTTCTAAATGCTTACATGCTGTTCTGCAAGGAGCAGCATGAGTTGGCAACTTCTCAGGGCACCACCATTCATGTGAAGTACGGGGTGCCATCAGCAAGCGTCTCCGGCCTGCTGGGCAAGCTGTGGTCGGAGTTGCCCCTGGCGGAGAAAAGTGCATACAGTGAGAAGCTGCCGCGCTTAAGGCGGCTAAGGACAGCTTCGATACCTGAGGCCAGACCCTTGCCTTTCTGTGATGTAACCGTTGCTTGTAATCAACCACATCCCAACCTGTCAGCAAATTCCCAGGACAGCTTCGGTACCTGAGGCCATACCCTTGCCTTTCTGTTGCACAACGTGTCCGCAATCAGGCTTGGTGCGGTCGGGAGGTTAGGTAACGTGGGGCTGACAGCTGGGTGGGAGAAATCCGGGGTAACGTGCTGGGTGCGGGTTCCGTGGTGGATGTGCGGACCAGCGCAGGGTACACGGATCAAGTTCGTCGAACAACCTGTCAGCCGACAGACTTGGTGTCGTATCCAAAAGCCTAAACACATCATTCTGCCCGACTACTGCAACCCCAACGTCGACAAGTATGCAAAAGGTCCTGATTCCTCAGCACTAGCTTCCACCGTCGCACGCTAGACCCGTTCGCGAGTAGCCCACACCGTCGGCGCTGCAGCTGCCCACAACAGACTTCCATGCCCTGTCGGCGTCGGCGCTGAAGCCACCCGCATCAGACCGGCATGCCCCGCAGGCAGAACTCCATCGTTTTCATCATGCTTTCAGGTCTTAGGTGTTATCATTACCAAAATTTCATCGAACTTCACTGTTACTTGAGGTCTTAGGTGTTACGGACTGTGAGGGTGTTCCACTTCCAACTTCAATTTAAAGGAAACAGAAAATAATACTTTTCTTATTTCATTTTTCATGTGCGCGTACATGTGTGTGTGTCTCCATGTGTCTCAAAGCAACCCAAACATTCGCGAAGACCGGTCGCGCGCGTCGGCCTGACCGCTCAAAACGCTGGCTATGGTCATACTTTATCACTAGGACATGATTGGGAGCGTCGAGCAGCACCTTTTCGGTCCAAATTCTGCGGGTCCGGTTCCGGTCCAGTGGCCGGTCGCAAAGGCTGTCGTACCCGGTCCGGCCGGCGGGGCTAACCAAACTCAAACACAAGGAAGTCCTGCTTGCAAGTCGCTTCCCATAGCTAACCAAACTCAAACACAAGGAAGTCCTGCTTGCAAGTCGCGTCCCATAGCAAACCAAACTCAAACACAAGGAAGTTCTGCTTATAAGTCGCGTCCCATAGCTAGCCAAACTCAAACACAAGGAAGTCCTGCTCCGGCATCGGCCGACTGCCCGATGGGGTCCATCCCAAGCGTTTCCACGATGACTTCGGCCATGTCCCTGGCGAAGCCCAACCCCGTCAATTTTGCCAGCTTTTGACGCTTCTGCAGAAGGTTAACACCATTGGGAATAGAACAGGCATGTAACGCGACTTGGTGTAAATGTGAGAAACGTGCACCATTGGTGCCAGTTCTTCAGTCAGACGCAGTCCAACCCCGTTCTTACCTTGTCCGGCCCATGCACATCCACACCCAGGGCACCATCGGATGCCATTCTGGAAGAGATAACAAACGGTCGTCGGGCTATTACTAGCTTGCGCTTAAGCGCAAGGAGATGGGCGTCTTCCAAGACGAAGTTTGGGACACGGGACACCTTGAATAAGACCCGAACGTAATCTGTATGCAATCTGCAGACCCTACTGGGGGACAAGTCCGCAGGAGGCGTATCAACATGCAAGACGTTATCAACAGCAAGCCGGTTTGGGGGTCCAAGTACAGCCTGTCACGCTGACTAGTTGGACAAGGCTGTATACTCTTCTGCGTGAAGGCATAATGACTTCACCAGGAGAGCAGCAAGAATGAAGTCGCCACTGCGACCCAGTTGTACGACAGCACCACAGAACCAGCCTTAGAAGATCCGGTCGCTTCGCTCCGTCGCATCTAAGCCAACAAAACGTTATCAACAGCAAGCCGCTTTGGGGGTCCTGGCTCAAAGTGAGGCCCACCCTGGAGTTAGTTGTTAAGCTTTCATGTTACTTCCTCATACAAACTGCTTCTCTAGTACTGTGATGTTTTATTGGTTATATTCATGCAAACTGAGCTGAAGTTGCAAGGCGCGAAGATGCTGGCCGCATCATGCCGCACCGCATTCCCAAGCCAGTATGCACAACTCTGAGAAAGTTTGCAGTCTTTATTGTTTTGTTGTGGCACAACTCCACGTAACTCTGCACATTATAGTGCATAGGAGCAATTCTTGCGCAGAAGTCCAAGTCGACTCAAAAGCATTCCAATTGGACTGTCTGGCTTGATGTAATGTTATCAGGTTGTTTATCGTAGCGCTTTGGCGCACCCAACGTGGAGTGTTGGCGCCGGAATGTGCAGCTGAACTCCTGCGCTATGAATCTGAACCAATGGTGCACGTTCCCAGCCATGGACATTTTGACAGAACACCCTTGTACGTTCTGCCATTCTAACCACAGCATTATAATTTGTTGCTGTGGCCGTCCTTCGAACATAACAGTCCTTCCCCCCTTAGGACGCGCGATTTGCAATAGCAGCCAGTGTGCAATTAGATATGTAGACCTCTGTGATGCGAGTTCTTCCTCAGTCGAGATCCGCTTCAACGAGCGTTTGTCGCTTCAGTCTGCTTCGGAACGAACACAGCCGGGCGGAATTTGACGCTAGAGGAAATAAGCCATAGAGCAAGAGAAAAATATCTCGCGGAAATAGAAAATAACCCTGGTCATTCCCCTGATTTACGCCTAAAGAGAAAGCCGATATTACAGCACCTGTGTAAACGTAAGGAGTAGGTTTGTAGCTGGCAAGGGATGGGGATGGGACCCTGGCTGACAGCTTTCGGATCTGAACACAGCTGCAGGATGGGGATGGCCCTGGTCGAAGGGATTGGGAAGGGACCCTGGCTGGCAGGATGAGGATTGGGGGAACACAGCTGCAGGATGGGATTGGAAACCCTGGCCATAGGATTGGGGATGGGACCCAGGCTGGCAGGATGGGAAACCTGTCTCAAGGGATGGGATTAGCACCGGGCCCCTAAGATGTGAGATGGGAGTCGGTCACCCCAGCCAGGATGGGGGGATGGCTGACCACTACCACCCCCCGGGATTGGGGGATTAGACCGTTTTTGCAACCCTCTGGTATGGCAACCATAAAATGGAGCATGGCTGACGGTTCGGATGTGGACACGCCTTTCCGAGCCTGTGCTTTAGCGTCCCCGTCCCTTAGCATTCTGGCTAGCTTACGCCGCTAACGGACTGGTCAGGATTAGAACTCAAGACTGACGCTGGACGCTGCGATGCAGCAGCTGTTTATGCAGGAGCCCAATAGGGCTGCGCGTGTGTCGTGTGGAGATTTATGGTACGTAAACCCTAAGCCCCCATAGTCCCGGAGGAGGCTATGCGCAATCCATTGAACTTTTACATCTGCCATTCTCGTATGTACGGGTTGATCCTCCCTTCTTTGGGTTGATCCTCCCGTCTTTTCTTTAACAACCAAAGGCAACAACGTAAATGGCATTGCGCACCAATAGCTGGGGCCTAATTGACATAATGAACAATAAAAATACAATGCACCGGAGAGGTAAGCAAGGGTAGAGCAAACGCCGTGAGGTAGCTTGCGTTGACATTACATTTGACATTACATTCGAACCTATATGCCCATAAGGCAGATTGAATTTTAATCATCCGTTTTACAACATAAAATGCCAAGTGAAATGAAATCATTGAAATCACTTTAGACCATCGACCGAGCCTCTCCACTCTCCCGGCGCGGGCATATGCTTGTTAGCTCTCAATATATACGGGTCAACTCATCGCAACAGCTCTCTCAACTTATTTGGACGGCTCATCTCAACTCAACAGCTCGCTCAACTAGTAAAAAAATGATAATAATAACACGCTTCCGTCACTAGACTACACTCAAGCTTCACTCCGCTCGAAAACCCGTAACACGCCTCAACGCATGCACGAGAGCACGCCGCCATATTAAATAAGTCGGATATACCTATCAACCAATCTTCTAACCAGATGCGCGAAACAAAACAAGGAAACGAAACTCAAACACACATAAGCACAAAAAACAATCGCCCTCCTGCTTGATGTCCGGAGCTAAGCAACGGTACTGTCCGGCTCAATCGCCGTACGGCAACCGTACGTATACAGCTGCTGCCTGTAAAACTCCGCGTGCTCCTTCAGAGCTGTCGTGATAATGGCCATGCCCAGCTGTTTGGAGGTGTGGTAACAGTTCCGCGCGTGGGCTTCATCCGCATTGGGCACCACGGTACAGATTCCCCTGACCACCACCTTCTCCGAGTGCTGCGGGCTGTCCATCAGCAGAACACGGTAGTTGCCGCCGCCCGGGGGAGACTGCTTGTCCTTATCGAGGCCAGAGCCGCTACGGCCTGTCAGAGGAAGGAAAAGGATGTCATCCGGTCCGTTGGTGCCACATGTACCAGTAATGAGTGATGCACAACGAACAATTTGCTTACGTGATTTGCTTACACGCGTGCATACCCTTACCAAAGCAAATTTGGTTTGGTGCTGGCCCCGACCCATCCTTGCTCTTTGGCAAGGGGGCATACACACTTCATGTTTCGTCAATGGATAGCGCAGGCGTGCTGCTCACAGCGTGGCCCGTTCTGGTGGGCTCCCTTTTCCCTTTTTCTGTGGCATCGAGGGCTTACCCGACTCCGTGCTTGGTTTCCAGCCGCCCAAGTTGAAATCGCTTAGGTCGAATCCGCCCAGCCGCTTGCTCAAATCAACATCAGGGCGGTCAAGCACGTTCCCTGATAGGTCACACGAGGTGGATTCAGCGTACGGTCATCGGGTACGGTCATCGGGAGAGCCCTCAATAGCCCCAAGCTGAAGGCTCTACCGTTGAGTCCTAGGTATCATTTCTTCTGTCCCGTTACTGGTATGGCATCGACAACAGTCCCGGTTACAGCGCAACGACGAATCCTGACGCTTTCCTGGGCCACACTGTAACACTGCTAGCCCCATGTCGAGCACTTTTGTTAGCACATTGTTAAGGGACGCATTGTGCAGCCTAGGGAAACCTTGCACTGGCCATCACGTAGTTGCAGGCCTGGAGCCGCCGAACAACGAAATTAAACCAACTCACCGCGTCCACCCCCAAAACGGGCCTGGATTTGAAGGGCAAAGCGACCACAAGGGCGAATAACTTTGGCCCGGCTGCCACGACGAAGGTTCTTGAAAGTTCTTTGAGATAACATGGCCATTTCAAGCTGCAATTTCGTGTAATGCAACCGCCAAAGAACGAAAAGGATGAGTGTTTGTTTGCGTAAACTCACTGTAAGTAATATCTGATGTAGATTTAAGGAAGCTCCAACCCACCATGGTATGTGGATTTGGATTCAGGCTGTCATACCGTTTTCCGCGGAAGCAATAGCAAAGCAACTCTCACACAAACGTAGAAATATAAGCAAAGATGTGCAAAGTCCTGGAAACTCTTGGATGTATAAAAACTCGTGCCTCTACGGAAGGAAGGAATTCTTGAAAGCAATTCAACATGTCTAGGGCAGCAAATGTATTAGATGATGCTTAACTTATGAATGAGCTCTGCAAGCCGGGCTGTGCCCGTTAACCAGTCAATCGCGACGGTATTATCGCCACCATGCCTCTCTGCGGACGCGTCTCTAGCTGGAACCTGCGGGAGCCTACTGGTGCGATAAAACATGCAGTTGACTCATGCTTAATCTGGGCATGGAGTTTGTTGATTCGATATCAAACCCGCAGGGCATTCGGCCGTTGTCAAAGCATCCGACTTCAAGACATGGGCCCCAGGAGGACAAAACCCCAGAACCACAGGGCATCCGTAAGAGCGTCTCCTTCAGCCTCCGTGTGCGCGGCCCTGGTGCAGGGTACAATTCCCCCTCGCCGGAACACCAACAGGCCCCAACCCAGCAGCGCTGCCCTGGCAGCAACGATGCACCACAACAGCAGGCCACACTGCCGACCGGGCCCGAAGGATCAAACGAGGCCGTAGTGAGAAGGTTGTTCAGGGCCGTTCAAGGCTATGCCAGCTCACCAGAGCCCCAGCCAAAGGTGTACCCCGGCTGGATTCCCCAACCGCAACAGAATAAGATCATCATGGCACCGGCAGAACCGGCACTGGCCCAGGACTCCCAGCCAGCAGCAAATCCCACCACAGCGATCGGCCGAAGCCAGTCCGACAGCACCACATTGAAGGTTTCAGGGCAGGCACCGGATCCAGCTGGTAGCAAAGAAGCTGGACTCAGCGGCTTCTCCATGGATGCACACGCCCTTGCACAGGCGCGCATAGTGCTGGGCTGTACCAGCCCAGTGGGATATCCACTGACCACCTTTCCTTCTGGGCCGGCTGGCCTTGCACCAGGGATTCACAGCGACGGTTGGCCGCCCGTATTCAGCCGGGAGGTCCGTTCGCCATCTCCAAAATGGGTCATGCCGCGTCATGCCTCAGCTATACCTCCACACCTACGCTCTGGGCCACAGCCCGTAAAGCAGCTTACGGCCCGACAGCACTCGCAGCAGCAATTGGGAATGCATGGAACCGTAGCAGGCAACCCGCCTGCCGCCTGTCAGGGATTGGGCGGCGCTCTGCCGGTCCCGATGCCGGCTATTGCAGGTTGGGAATTTCGGCAAGCCCCATCACGGCAGGCAGGCAGGCGAAGCATATCACCTCACCGGGTAGGTCTCCGGTCGAGCACTGGCAGCGGACCTGGTCGGGCCTGGGGCCAAGTGGCCACACGTACGGTCACGCTAGGCCAGCCGACGCAGAAGGCCAGCCCACGGCCTACCAGGACGCCACCTCCAACTGCAAGAACAATAACTCAACCAATATTATCGCCACCAGTAGCAGCAATAACAACAGCAAGAGCAACGGCTGGAATAGTCACAGCAACGGCAATGGCTTCAAGGTCTCCTGGTGTGCGCCGAGCGCTGGCTACCAGTCCAGAGGCCAGGAGCACAGACGGCCCATTAGCCAGCGCTGCCGGGTCACCACATGCGACCTTTGAGCAGGTGCACCTGCTGCTCGCGTCGCTCAACCTCCCTGGGTTGGGCCGCGCGAGCATGGGTGCCGATCGACCGCCGATGGGGACAGGCTGCGATGCGCCTGAGGAGCAGCAGCGACGGGACCTAGACAACTTGGCGCCGGCGGTTTCCGCTTTCACGGCGGGACTTGCAGACCAACACATTTCCGCTGCGTACTGGCCGCAAGTATCTGGGCAGGAAGGGGGGCTTACGAACCCCGCGGCCAAAAGCATGATGGCAGCGGCCAGAACGGATTTGGGTTTTACGCAAGGCATGTACAGACGCCCTGGTGCGGTCCGTGTTGGCGCGGATGCATTTGATGAGTATCCGCCGCAGCCGGCGGTGGCCATGAACGCACGCTGCGGTAAGAATGGGGCTTATGAAAATTTTGATGCCGTTCGGTGGCCGTTCGACCAAGCGCTTGCAGCCCGCGGCCCTGGTGGCCCGCGGGCGCATGAGCTCGCCAAGTCCGGCAGCACGGACGCCGCGGGGTTCCTGCAGGCACTACAACCGGCGTGCTACGCCTGGCTGCGATCGGTTGCTAGGATAGCAGCGCAGCAGCGGCAGGCGGCCGTGGATGATATGGGCGAGCTGGTGCAGCAGCTACAGGAGGCGCAGCTGGAGCGGAAGCACGTGGAGGCGTACCTGCTGGGAAGCCGGTTGGGGATCTCGCGACATAGGCTGGCGCGCCTGCATGAGCTGGTGGGTGCATGTGTAGTCACTTCACGCACGATTTATGTTTCGCGTATGTTGAAAATGTGCGCTGCCGGCAATTAAGGTTTTGCGTAGCCCTGCCTGGGTGCGATTTACCAGCTCGGGCAAGTGGGTTGGCTGCTCCGGGGAAGATAAACAAGCAAGTGGTTTGGGGCATGATCCTACGGTGGGTGTGGGGCCATTTCTCACATTGCAGCTTAGCATTTCTCCATCCTTCAACCTGGCCCCCCTCACCCTGCCTTCTCATGCCATCGAACGGATTCACAGGTGGTGGCATCTGGCACCCCGCCCGCTGTGACGGCGGCGCTGCTGTCGCAGCTGGAGGACCGCCTGCGGTTGAAAGTGGCACTCGGGGCGCTGCGACGGTACGCGGCCGGAGCACTGCACTTGCTGGACCTGCTGCAGTCGCGTAACGAAGCCGGCGGGCCGCTGGCAGCGGCCGCATGGCAGTGCTGGAGGAGGGCAGCGGCGACGAGCGAGGTTTTGCGGGGCCGTATGGACGCCATGGCTGCAGCCAGGTGGGCGGACTCGCACGGGAGGGTGAAATGGTCCGGGGACAAACCCGCGGCATCTGCGGCCTCTATAGGTAAACGCCATAGTCGGGTGTGCTCCTCCAAAATATGGAGTGCAACAGGCCTCTTCACGACATTCCAGGGTGGGCAGGTCCGAAGGATCGTGGTGGGGAAAAGCAGATCCTGAATAGCAAATGTCAGGAAGTGATCTGACCTGAATGTCCGCCGCTCGCTGAACCGCTCATGGTGCAGCGCCTTGACGTTGTGTGTATGTACCTATGTCCTATCCAGCAGTGGCGACATGTAAGGCTGAGTGGCTTCTTAACACAGCTGCACACATCCTGATGCCGTGGCACGGCGCCCAATGCTACGATTACGAACCAAACGCGTTACGACTGAAGGTCGCCGAAGGCACATGCGGCCGATAGCGCTTGCACGTCATACCCACCTTTATGTGTGCTGCCATGTCCCCTGCAGGTGGCGTCTCCAGGCTGTCCGCGTGCTGTCCGCCTGGCATACCCTCGTCAGGCGCACTGGTGAGCTGCGGGAGCTGGGCATGCGTCTGCACGACCGTCTTGCGCCACGCCGCGCTGCACAGTGCTTGTTCGCCTGGCGTGCTGCATGTATGCGCGAGGCCGTTCTCCGGCGCGCACTGGTCGCATGTTGTGCGGCGCGTATACGGCGCCAGCTGCTGGCATGGCGGGACACGGCACGGCGGGTCGCGCACTCGGGGCGGCTGCGCCGTACCGCAGAGCGGCAATACCGTTCGCGGCTGCTGCTGGCGTCGTTGGCGCACTGGCGTTTCCTGCACGTGAGCCGCGCAGTGGAACGCGTGTGGGACTCGGCGCTGGCACGCCGGCGTGGACTGCAGCTGCTGGCACGTGCAATGCATGTGTGGCACTTCTATGCACGCAGGTGCCGCCAGCTCATTCGACAGCTGGCCGGGCGACACGCAGCCGTAGGTGGGCATGCGGCTCCATCGCAGCTTCAATGTCCTCATTATTAACCCAGTATGCAACACATGATGAGGCATTGCATGTTTTAGGACCGAATATAGGCCAGACATAGGCGGGGAAATCAACGTTCGAAGGGAATGATTGATTTTCGGCAGGAACAGTGCTTAGACAGCTTTTTAGTCATTCCCTTTCCTCAGTATCCAGGTGCTTACTGGAGGCGTTCTTCTCTGTAATCGTTTTCAAAACGTTTTTCGGGGGGCTGCTCCCCCGGACCCCCAAAAATGAGGCAACGGGTCGCAAAGTTTTGGCCGCTGCTTTTTGCTTCTTCGAATTCACCCCCGTGCTGGGGGCTGTCGGTGCTAATCTTTTGCCCCCACTTTGCCTTACCCTATTTCCCGGTCTCCACTCTTCCCGCTTTGGTGTTGTCCACCTCGCTTTCCTGTTCCTTCGCCTCTGCAGCCTCCGATGCCATGGCGGTAGTAAACGAGAGCGAGCTGCCCGCGCCACTCGCGCTGGCCGGTGTGCCGATCATGATCCAGCAGCTGCTATCAGCCGCACGCACGTATATGCTTGCCATGTCGGATGAGCTCCTCCACCTGCGCTCCTTCCTGCGCTTCACCAAGTTGCCTGCCGGGGCGCAGCAGCGAACCACCGAGGCCATCGAGGCTCACAAAACCTGCCTGGGACCCGGTCTCCGTATCACAGCCGCACCATTGGGGACGTCCGCGGGCGTGGAAGCCGCTTCCTCTCTCCCCTTTCCCTCATCGTCGTTGGGGATTTCGGCTCAGGACGATCATGAGCGGGCAGACTTTGGAGGGGTGGCCATCAGCCGCACGGCGCGTGCGGGGGATGTACGGTGTGGCCGTGTTCGCGCATCACCGCGGCTGCTGATAAGTGGTCAGTGGCGGCATAAGCGGCAAGTGCTTGTGCTCTTGGCGCAGCTGCAACAGGTGGAGCGTATGGCGGAGGATGTAGACGCTCAACTCGAGGCCGCAGAGAGGTGGGTGCGATGACACGGCGTGGGATGTTAAAACAAGCTAGGGCCGGAAGGCTGGAACCCTGGAATGCATGTGGTAACGGTGCAGGCTCAGTGCCCCGGTGTAAGGGAAAAGGAGGCAATGGTGCGACACGGTATTTCATGAGCCAGAAGCCAGGGACGTAGGGCGGGCGGTGTGCAATGCAGTGACTTGATGACTAGGCGCTTATTGGCAGTTACCAGTAGCGTCGGATGTAGGGTCGGACGAAACCGCGCGTGTTGGATGGGCATCCTGAAGCGTTACATAAATCCCTGTCCTTGCCTTCGGGCCTGTGCTCCTTACCAAGTGCCTGTCAACGAACCCTAGCCACCTGGCTCGCTGCCTGTCATTGGCGGTGCAAGCGCTTTCCTGACCCATGGTCACAATGTAGGTCATCATCCAAATAGATATCATTTTCCTCTCGACAAACATGCAAGTGCAAATACAAGCAAATGCAGGGACAAGAATGTAACCGAATCCCAATACTCTGTAAATGCAACTGGAGGGTGTAACTTTCTGTATCTGTACCCGCTGCAGGGACGGGCGGATAGTGCGACTGGGCCTCCAGCAGCGTGCCGACCAAATACAGCGGCGCACCGCCGCCAGTCTGGACGACATGGCGGCTGCTAGGGCCCAGCAGCAGGCGCTCCAGGCAGACATGGAGCACCTGGACAAGGTGCGGAAGGGCTCTGCGCGGGGAACCGGGGTAGGCAGCCTAAGCTACGTGGAGTGCTGCCGTGTAGGGGCCAAACCACTTGCCTTGCACGTCAGCTTGTGGCTGGCATTGTGGCCTCCGCCTCTTCCAAACCGTTTTATTATTCACCCTGCTGATGGTTGTATCCTCAGCAAGACGTCTAATGAGGCGGGAATTGCACTCGCCATCACCGATTGGTAATGGGTTGAGGAACGGCAGCCTAACAGAAGTGAGATGCTCTGCAGGAGGTGCTGGCTGTTGGGGACTACATCGACCGCTGCCATGCGGCGTCTGTCGAAGCGGCGAACGAGCTGCGGAACGTGGAGGCGCAGCTAGCGGAGGCGGAGGCTCGGCACCAGGAGGCACAGGCTGCTGCTGCTGAGGCAACGGCGTGGGAGGCTTCTCTCAGGCACTCCCAGCTGGCTAAGCAAGCAGCAGCGGTGCGTACGTGTGCATATGTGGTTATACGTCCTAAGTATAATTCTGGGGGAAAGACGTATGGCAGGAATAAGCATTCGTGCGTATGTCTGGGCTCGTTTGGAGGCAGTGGGCAGTGCTGGAATCTTCTGGTGAGTGGTGATGTAGTGTTATGAGCTCCCAGGAGTCCAAAGTGGCCCGTCGCATTGGATTAGACACGTACTTGAGAGATTGCATTAACATAGTTGGTTTGCCCTCAGGACTTGTCCCTTGCCACGCGTAACGCATCGTGGGCCTTCGATACTCATGGCACAAAGACAGAGCCCGATGCTCCCCTGACGGGTGCCCTTGCTTGTATTGCCTCTATCCTCTCTACTCCTCTATCCTTCGCTGCAGGAAGCCGCGGCCAGGCAGCTACCCCACCCCAGCTTCACACATGCGCAAGAGGCTGAGCGCCGGGGGCGCGAGCGGCTGCTGGCGGCGCAGCGGCGGCTGTCGGAGGCACTGCAGCTCAAGGCAGCACTCATGGCGCATTGGCGGGAAACGCAGCTGGAGGCGACGGCGGCACCGCGTTACGCAGCTCAGCGACACGCGCTGCGGGTGGCGGAGGCGCAGCAGCAGGTGGTGGAAGCCGCCAAAGTGGTATCCCTGGCGGAGCTGGAGGTACGTATAATGAACTGAATAAGTTGTTAACGGCTTGGCTAGGGAAGTGTGGGAGGGGATCTTAATTTGGGAGTTGCGGTAAGGTGGAGCTGGTTTGTGTCATGTGGCGTTGGGTAGCAAGGTGGGATCTGCTAGAGTCAGCCCTCGGCGGTAAGCCGCCACAAGGACGATCTGTAGCGTACGGGGCTGTGTGGTGAGTTGTGGCAGGGTAAATAGACAGATGGGCAACAGGATACACCGCCACGACGGTAGCGCCGCTAAATGCAGTGCACCCAAGGCCTGTGATGAGCCGCAAGTTCCAGGCCTCGTTGCTATCCGCCTCCGCTTCTTCTGGAGAACCTTGTGCCCTGCCGTGTCTTCAGCGCAGCTACCAGCAGACGGCGAGACTGCTATGCGAATGCGCTGCGCTTTGTTATGTAAAGGGTTACCCTGTCGTTGCCGAGCAGGTCCATGACTTGCTGGTCGCGGTGGACAGGCTAACACGTGCGACACAGGACGCCAAGGGCGCCGACGACGAGCTCCAAGCTGCCGCGGATGCCGCGGATGCCCAGGCAGCGGATGCCGCTGAACGGACTGTAGCGGCATCACGGGAGACGGCACAGGCTGCCGTGGCGGAGCAGCGGGCGCAGGGCACCGTGCTAGCGCTGCGGCAGCGGCTGCGTGAGCTTCAAGAGGCTCAGACGATAGACCTGCCGTCGACGCCGACAATGGGTCAATCAGTGCTGCTGGAGCCGCTGCGCGCACGCGAGGAGCAGCTGAAGGCGGAGCTGGAGGCCTGCACGGAGCGCGCGGAGGCTGCCCAGGAGGAGCTGCGGGCGGCGATGACAGAGGCAGCCGCGGTAAGAGATGCATTCAAGAGTACAACATAATCTCAGAAGACCCGGGGCTTGGACAGTGCCGTCATATATGGGAAAAGGGAAGTCGTTGAACGGTGGAGCCGCCAAGGGAAGGTGATGACGTGTTCCCGCTCCATCTCTGCGGGGGACCGTGCGGCCCTGTCCCTACCCCTGCTCCCTATGTGCAGCTGTCGCAGCAGGTGGAGGCCGCCGAGGTGTCCCACCGCGCCCAGCTGCTACGTCTGCAACCCGCACGTGCCAAGCTGCAGCAGTCGGCTCAGCAGCTGCGTAGCAAGCTGGAGGGCTACCCCTCCGAGCTGGTGCGGCAGCTGCGGCCGGTCGTCGTGGCACAGGGCCTTGAAGCAGTTTGCCAGGCGAGTAGGATGTCGCATTGGTAGGGAACATTTTCACCTCTGCTGTCGAAACGCATGGCCTGCGTTGGGGAAAGAGGGGGAGTCGTGGGGAGTTATCGCCGTCACGCCAATAGCGGGGCTGTTGTGAGGCCACCTCGGATGTCGTGTAAGGGCCCACTGCAGTAGGCACAGTCGGAGCGGAAGGATGGCATATGGGAGGGCGGTCTTGAGTTGGTCATCGGCATGAGGTGACACCGAGGGGGAAGACAAGGTCAGGGCAGGGGAGCCCAGGCGGTAAGACCAAAGGACGCCCGGGGCGCCAGGGCGCCAGGACGCCACAGGCCAAGGGCTCGCCGGTTGAATGAGGATGGTGCCTAGTTGCCACCCGTCCCGGCTCAGCGCCTCTTACAAGCTGCGCACCTGTCCGGCCGCCTGCCGTGCCATCCTCGCGTAGGGCGCCGGCTGGGATTGGACTGCCAAGAAATTGCCGCTCGGAAGGGCACAGGAGCCACGGCCGGGGATGCTGCTGGCAGACTCTGAGCCTGAAACAGATTCTGATCTGGAATCGAGAGCCCAGGATGGCGGTGATGGTGCGAGTCCTGGAGCACGATGCAGTGCGGGACAGTGTGCTGTAATGGCACAAATGTCCTCCCCGCACCCAGCTCGTTTGGGCGACAGCGCCAGCGCAGCGTCCATGCGCCTCCAGATCCCGCCACCTGCCGTCAATGCTATGGCAACGTTATCAGCAGCAGTGCGTGACGATGCGGGTCTGTTCGTTGAACCTGAGCACCACCAGCAGCAGCAAGCCAGCAACGCCGGCGCGTCATCATCAGACGATCAACTTCTTCAGCAGCCGCAGCATTGTCCTGGCCGTCTCGGCCTTAACTTCCATGGCATGTCCACTGTACAGCTATCGCGATTTGCCCGGGCCGTCCTGGGCTCGGCGACCGCCCACAACGACGGGGTCGTTCTGGACACTAGCCCCGTACACAGATGCCCCCGAAGCGCAGGTTTCACCGCCATGGCTGCTGCAGCTGACGCCGACGACAACAATGACGACGGCTACGCAGCCTCAGCCGCCACGGACGATATACAGGGCGAAGATGGACCGCCGCTAGGCGTCATACCGCCGCGGCTGGAGGTGTTTACGGAATCAAGGGGGCAGAGACTCGCGGAAAGCCTGCAGCTATTAGGCGCTCGTGGTGCCGGCAGCGCTGCGGCATGGGCTCCGAACGTTGCGCACAGCAGTAAGCCAGTCCACAACAGGTGTGCAAGAAGGCAGCAGCTTCCATCCGCATCCTATGAGCTGCACAGGGTCAGTAAAGCGTGTCACGAATGTGGCGCAAGCAGCCCTCCACATGCACTGCCGCATGGCGCTGCTATTTCACAGGAACCCGGCCGGCACATGTCCCTGCTCGAGCGAGCGCTTGGCCATGATCAGGATGCAGCGCGGCTCGTGTGCTCCAATGCAGATGCCACTGGCGCCAGTGAGGTGCGCGGCGTTGACGGCGAAGACGGTAGCGCCGCTGACCCCTCGGCTGCTGGCACGGAATCAGCGCGGCTCGGGGCATACCATGAACGCCAAGGTAGCCTTCTTGGCTCGCGACATGAGGGCAGCTCACAGCTGCCTTCTGCATCGCAGCCGTACTTGGACGACTCCCAGACAACGTCCTTCTGGGAGATGGGATATCCTCGACTGCCGTTCCGCACGCCAGCTATTAGTAGCAGCGGCGGTGTTGCAGGATCGGTTTCGGAGAGGCGATGTGTTGGCAGCAGCGGCAACATGTCCGGTCAAGAGGAGGGCCTGGAAAAGCTGCCATCACAGTCTCGCAAGTCCGCTCCTGCCTCAGAGCCTGCGGGGCGCGCTGCGGGCCGCCTCTCAAGCGCGAGTTCCATACATGCGCATTTGTCCGACCCAGGCAACATGCTGGCCCAGGGGGCTACGGCCACCTCCACAAGCAAGCCGTGCAAGGACGCCAACTTGGGCCCTATGCACACGCACGAACTGCAGCTGCAGGATGACGCGACTGCGGCCGCAAAGGGCCGCGACATAGGTGCCCAAGCGGGATCTGCGTTGGGTTTGGCTGTCACTCCTTGCCGACCCAGTCACGTAACGAACGGTGAGGCGCCCATCGAGATGGGAGGAGCCGAGGGCTCAGACGCATCCTGCTCCGCGTCACAGAGTGTTGCAGTGGACGCTGGCACCACAACGCCTCGAGGCCTGGATGGCGCAGCGTGGCTGTTTAACAGGAGGAGGCTGTGCTGTCGCACGCTACAGGTGACCGCATTAGCTGATGTCTTGTGCGAGCAAGCACTCAACCTCGAAGGGGTATATAGAGTGTCACAGACGCAGTGAGGCCTGGCAGAATCACCAGAGCTGCTGCCCCGCTTGCTTGCGATCTTATTTCTTCCTCCACTCTTGAGAGTTCTGCTCCGTCTTAAGGTTGGTAAATGTACATCTTCAGCCAAGTTGGTTGGCATGCCTTGCGGCATGAGCCGAGGGCAGCCGATGAAGCCACTCAACCCATATTCCAATTGTCCTGACACGCCGCCTAATGCAGGGCTTCCGGGCGTATGCCACCAGCCTGACCAGCTTGGCGGCCCGATTGCGCGGCATCTCCGGCGTGGTGGCACTGCGTTCTGCGCTCTTATCCTGGCGTTCGGCCATCAGGGAGCCCAAGGCGCTGGCGGAGCGAGTAGCCCGCTGCAGCGCCTACCTTCGCTGTTTGCACCGTTGGCAGTCGTACGTGTGCGAGCGGCGCCAACGAGCGGGCTTGATCGAGTTGGGCCGCAAGCGCATCTGGCAGCGCATTTTGCGCGCGTGCTTTATCTGGTGGTGTATGTGGTGCAACGACCAGGTACTCAACCTACCTAAGTAGCCGCCACTACGGCCGCGCGACGATACACACGGCTCATCTGTTTTCCTTTGCCGTGGCTAGGACTTGGCCCGATTAACGACATTGAATGCAGTTGGCGGAGGGTTTAGGGATTGTGCTTTCCGTGCGATAACGGATGCCCTGCACGTGCACCGTGGCGTTCTACTCATACCCCGTTATGTGCGCCACTGCACTGTCGGCGGGCGTGGAGACAACCTAATTTCCCATGACAGATGTGCCGAGGCCTTCCTTCTTTCCCACCTCCGCCTGGCAGGTTTCAAAGCGCCGAGCTGCAGCCAAGGCACGTGCACATCTGGTGCGTGGCCTATTGCTGCGGTGGCGTCGGGGCTCGCGGATGTCGCAGGAAAAGCGCGCGTGTGCTACTGCTGCAAATAAGCTGTGAGTACGGCAGCGGGCTTTGGGTAAACAGACGTACCAGCAACTGGTATGCCCGTCGGATAGGACCAGGTACGCAAACGGACCAGGCTGGAACCTCCCACTGGCCCGTCCGTGTGCCCCCGCCACATACCAATCTCGAAATCGTGAAAGGCGCCTGCTCTGCACTGCCACTAGTGCTGACTGACGTTTACACTGAAAACCTTGTCAACCTTATCCCCGGCAGTTACGCGCAAGCGGCATGCAGGCGTTGTTTTAGCCAGTGGCTCCACGTCTTGCGAACTCGGCAGTTGCTGCTGCGGGTCTTCGCCCGAGCGGAAATGCTGTGGGACGCGTACCCGGAGCCATCCACGCAGTAAGTAGGGAAAGCCAAGCGACGACGACGCAGGGGTGCTGCTTCCCAGGCGGTGCAATCTCCCCATGATGTCACAAACGCGCATTACGCCAAGCGTATCTAGCATCTGGTTGTCGTGGGCGAGACAATGTGAGAACCTGCTTGGAGCGTTGATTTGATGTCGCAATACAATCCTAACATCAAGGCATGTCATTTGGAGCCTCTGCTGCCTACAATTCTTCGTTTGCTGCAGCTTTGGCAACGAATTTGACGCGCTACGCCAAGCCTTCAACCAGCTGCGGCGCTACCGAGCATACCGCCTGGACAAGCGGAAGCACCGTATCAACGAGCAAGCTGCAGCGGCGTTTCGCGCGTCGCTGCTTCGCGTTCGGTCTTTTGCCGCTTGGCAGGTGCGATTGGTTCAGCCGCAGAACCGTCTCTTATGGACCAACTTATCTGCAGGATGTATGCTTACTCTGTAAGTCTGCTGCAGGGAATTCGGCACTCATGGTCCTTTTTAGAAAGGGCTAGCCTAGTTTCCCTCGCGTAGTAATTAAAGGGATTCTCCTTTCTCCGTATGATTTTATGGCTGCCGCCTTAGGCTGCGGTAGAGTCGGCGCGGGAGGAGCGCTTCGTCATCCGCCGGACAGTGAGGCTGCTGCGCGCCTGGCGGCTGCTCACGCGTGGGATGCGGGATGTGCCTGGCAGCCTATGCAATCTGCGGCGGCGCTTGCGAACAAGGGGCTACCTGGCGGGTGAGGCCGATGTTCGCCGCCAGCGGCTGCTGCGCTGTGCGCTAGCGGCCCTGAGAGCGCACTCTGAGGTGTCGTACAGGTGGGACTGGGTTCGCAATCCCAATCGCGGTCATCTAAGTTGCGCCCATCGTGATACTGTATGCCGGGGATGAGTATCATAGCAGGAATTTTTTCGCATCTCAGTAGTTAAATAGGAATGCGCATTCCCATGTCAACAGTTCCATGAACGAACCGCAGGCGTTTGCAGTTGGCCCTTGATCCCCTCACACTGGGATTGAGATATAAAGGTCCATTTGCGTCCATTCGGCACACACCACCATACAATATCTCTCCTGTGGCCGAAGTTATGTTTTTTTTGCCTTCTGCCCACGCAGGCAATATGCTCGGACGCTGCTATCGCGTGCTCTGAGCTCCTGGCGCCTTGTGCTTGCTGAGACGGCAAACCTGGTAAAGGTGCATCAGAGCAGCACGCTCCGTGCTCTACTATGGCAGTGGCATGCAATGGCTGCTGCACATGCCCAATTACGATGCGCCTGCTCTGCGCTCATGGCTCGGCGGCACCGGTAGGATACCTCGCGCGCGTCAGGTTATGCACTAACTTGCTGCTTGGCGCTGGGGCTGCTTAAGGCTTTCAGGGATGTCCAACGGTAAACCAGTTTCATGGCGCTGCTATCGCAGGCGTCTTTTAAGGATGAGCTTGACGGCGTGGGCAGAGCTTATAGGCGAAATTCGCGCGAATGTTTACCTATTGTCCGCCGCAACGCTGCATTATGAGCGTAACCTCGCTCTCCGTGTTCTGCGTCACCTATCAAGCTCCGTGAACTGCAGCAGCATCGGCTGGTCCCAAGCCGTTGCTCACCACGCCAGCAGTCAACTTCGCCGGTGTATGGTGGAATGGCGTCTGCACGCCCTGAACACGCGTGCTAAGACGGAGACGCTCAAACGCACCTTGGTATCTGTAGATGTTCGCACGCATGAGGATCAGTTGCGGGTACGCCAGACTTCTCTGCCCTCCGTGGTCACCGGCGCGTTCCTGCCCATTGGATTGCAGCCAATGCGCCAGCGTGGATTCGTCGCTGTTACCTCAGTTCCGGTGCAGGCGGTCGTGAAAAGAAATACCACAATTGCGCATGAGCAAGTGCTAACGCCGTCGTCTGCATTGTCACATAACAATCTAAATACCCGGTATGGCATGGAGGAGCTGCAGGTGTCTGGCGGACGCACGGCGCAGGTCCTGGTTTTGGAACCGAACCCGGAAGACGTGGTTGCTGAAGCAATTGTTCACAGAGCGCCAGATTTATACACTGACAGCCGACATCGACAAGTGTTACATACGTGGGGCAGCTGCGCTAGTGCAGAGAGTCTAGGACTGGGACAGGAGCATGTTGAAATACGTGCCATCTGCACACAAACAGGTACGTGTGTTTTATGCCTAGGGGCGTGTTACTAGAATGTGATTTTATCTTGTGAGCTGTTGCATGCAGGCGTTCCTACCCGTAGCAGCGACAATTTGTCAAACACGACGTTACGAGATCTACCATCTGATGTAAGCAGTATGAGTCCGGCAACGTTGAAGAAATGGACACAGTACGCGCAGAGCCAGTTGGCTGAGGAGTGGTGGAGACGAATACTTATGCAACGCTGTATATTGTGCTGGCGTAAATTTACCAAGATGATGGTATACGGAAAGAGATGGAAGGCACGGAACGTGGATTGTAAACGTTAATATGGTCCTGTGAGCAGCTGGGCAGTGTGTACAGTATCATACTCTTCTCACATCACAGATGGTAGCCAGACACGCAAACTGAGATCATTTTGTTAAGTTACTCAATTATGTCCATTGTGCACTATAAACTGCTCCATCCGCCATGACCATGAACACGCGTGTCGATTTCATTACCCAAACGTTGGTGCCTGGTTTATGCTTGCACGGTCGCACTAATATCAAGCAACAGAGCTACGTTTCGAAGGGTGCCACACAAGGAAACAGTAGCACTGCTACGCTCAACCCACAAGACGTGTGTTGTACAGTTCTAGGTTGCATCGGAATTTGCCCTTTCCTCGACATTTCAGAACCACAGGAAACCAATGTAACCCTCAAGTCAAAACCCCGGCAACTTTCAACGAGTCACCAGGCGACGCAGAAAGAATTGTGTGTTGCCGAGGACCCTCGCAAGCCATTAATGCTTTGGGAACGGATGTATGCCACTTGCGCCGTGTTACTTAACAGGTTACCCGTTCCCCGCTCCCCCGGATGGACCAACAATATACACCACCAACACGGCTACAGCCCCTGTCCGACGCCTGAAGAAACTAGATGGTACTCAGGGCTCTGCATCCTCAACCTTCATGTCGGCCCCCTCTCTGTCGTCACCCGCAGCTGGGTCCTGAAAATAAGCAGGGAGGGAGGGGGGCGCACAGGAGGGAAGTGTAAGACTCGTTCTGGGCGCGTTGCTGCCTGAGCATATTAAAATATATCACTCTTGACAGGAGGTATGAGCCCGTTACAACCAGGGAAAAATGCAGTTTTCGCCCATCGCGCTTCAACGCAACCCCAGTCTCCAACGACCCCTTTGACTTCGAATGGTTGACTGCCATATAACTGCGCTGTCCTAAGCGGCAGATGTCAAAGACGAAACAAAACGAAAAGGCATGTCCAATAGTTGAACCGCACCTGCATGTCGGACGTCCACAGTGTGAGGTTGTCGCGCAGCAGCTGCATAATCAGCGTGCTGTCCTTGTAAGACTCCTCGCCCAAAGAGTCAAGTTCAGCGATGGCCTCATCGAACGCCTGCAACGCCATCGAACAAAGCCAGGAGGGGTTGGGTGCCACTCCTCGATGTTTGACAGATTCGAAACTTGACCACAACGTACCTGCTTGGCAAGATGGCATGCGCGCTCGGGCGAGTTGAGAATCTCGTAGTAAAAGACGGAGAAGTTGAGCGCCAGGCCCAGACGGATAGGGTGCGTGGGCGGAAGGTCCACAAGTGCAATGTCCTGCGACACAGATAGGAAGAAACAAGCTGAGCTTCAGCACCACGTTTACGCTCATTCTTTGAAACTTAAAATAAGCAAGAGAAGCTTTAATAACTGGTGAACACCATTTTGCAGTGGAGACTCTTCGCCTGCCCACCTGCGCGGCCTTGTATGCGAGCAGGGTGTGCTCAGCGGCCTCCTTCCGGTCAGCGCCCGTCTTAAACTCCGCCAGATACCTGTGGTAGTCACCCTTCATCTTCAAATAGAAAACCTTGCTCTCACCCGTAGACGCCGTGGGGATCAGGTGGTCATCCAAGAGCTGGAGAATGCTGGTGCAAATTTTGCTGAGCTCCTCTTCCACCTAGCAGGACAATATCACCAGCATGAATAAGATAGGCGGCGAGTAGCCAGCAGGGCGCTAAGCTTGCGCGCCGGCTGCGAAGGTTCCCCGAAGAAGGATCATAGCCCTTGTCCGAAAGCAAAGCTTACCACCGTGCGATACTTGCGAATCCTCTGCACGTGCTCCTCATTGCCCTTGCTCTCCTCCTTCTGCTCTATGCTGGAGATAATGCGCCAAGAAGCACGCCGTGCGCCAATGACGTTCTTGTAGGCCACCGACAGGAGGTTGCGCTCTTCTACCGACAACTCCTGGTCGTGTACCAGCTTAGCAACCTTCTTCATCTCCTCGACCATCTCGTCATAACGCTCCGCCTGCTCAGCAAGCTTCGCCATGTAGACGCATTCCTCCCGATCGACCGCCATTCGTGCAAGGTCTGCAACAAGAGGTATCTAATATTCCGGATATTTAAAGCGTTGTCTGACGTATGTTTCTGCACAGCCGCTTTAGATGAGAAACGCTGAATTGCAGCAGGAAATGCTTTCCATGTCCGGCACGTCCGGCAACAACGCGCACCCTCCTGGAGCCCCATGTTGCCCGCCCAAACTTGATTGCCCGCCACCTATTTGTTACCCTTTGATAGCAACAAGTAGTCCAAGCGTATGCGGTCTCATTGAAAGCCATGCGGCAATATTACGTTGGGGAGGCGCACCGTCACACTACATTCGCGTTTCACCAATCCTCCGGTTATCCGTGCCAGTGCCCATGATAATATGGCACCGTTGAATATGCGGCATATAGATCATAACATCCTAATGCCTCATTACAGGGTGAGTCGCACCGTTTCATAGACCGTTCCGCTTTGGAGCTCTCACTGCTCCGATATCTCGGTGAACACAGCTATCAGATGACAGGCGTTCACCCGTGACCGCCAGCACCCGGGTGGCACAATTCCTCTCAGGTTACGACCTGTGGTTTCGCATATGTACTTTACAAATCCTTTTGCAGACTTACGTGTTTCTGGGCACATGATATTTTAGAATCGTATGCGCTTTCTCTTATCACCTATGCGTGCTAAAACTTTGCGTGTCCCTATGTTGTTGCTGCTCCGTTTCGGGAAGACAACTTGCTTTCTTAATGCTTGCTTTCGGCCTACAGACTAATAGTTTGGAGTGGAAGGCTACTGCAAATGTCCTCAACGATATCAACGCGGTGAATGCAGGATTAAGTCGCTGCTGCAATACGGACGGTATTGAGCTAACGCCCTGTAAATGTTTTTCGGAAACCATTGAAGCGTTGTTCAGGCTTCTGGCATTAACTATTATATAGAGGCTCCTCGCGAAGACTGTTCTTCCGGCAAAGGTTACGCTTGGACGAACTTTTGCAACGTTGCTTGGTTGCCCTAAGGTTTTATAGACAGCTTAGTTGTGCTTTTGTCAAACAGGATTTAACCTGACGAACAAAAGGGGTAACACAACTCGGAACTTCTTACTTTCTTTCTTCATACCGCAAAAATGCCCGTGAAGAACTTAATCCATGGCTTCAGGTACATACTCATTCGCTTCTAGGATATGGGTTTGCCCGGATGTGCACGCCGGCAGTCAGCGGTACATGCGCACACCCTACCACCTGTACCGCTTCGCTCGCAACACAAGAAGCAGGGATAAATGTATCTACGTATTTGCAGCACACGTGAAACCAGCAGAACGAAACGCTGTTTGAACTACTGACGGTCCACATATAACCAGCAACGTGCGCCCCTGCAACCTTCTGGTTGACATCGACAGCCCAACCACACCCTGACGTCTGGCCGGCACGGAAACCGTTGAATTTGCAAACCCCTAGTCGTATCTCCCTGCAAGCCCTTCCAGGACCAATCACACCATATTCCCCCCTCCATCTTCGTTCCCGTTACCCCTCACACCTCGTTAATTGTACCCCTCACCTGCTGTCAACTGCACATGTGCCCATATATCCGTGATTTACTACACCCACCGACTGACGCTAATACTTGAAGAAGCCATCGTCGCCTTTCCTCGTCGTGCAGCAAGTCCTACCAACCCCCTAATCCCACCGGTATCTTACTCGGGCAGCGCCTCGAGGTCGGAGGACACCATTCTCTGCTGCAGTCGCCGCATCTGCACCGCCAAGCGTCCCAGCACTGAGGCCATCTCCTCGCTCTCCGCCACAGCGCTGTTCTCCAGCGCCTCCACCAGAGACAGCACCTCAGCCACCTCCTCGTGCGTGAAACCGTTGCTCACCTGTCCCGCAGACCCCGAACCCTGGGATGACGCCGAGTTCACCCCCGACCCCGCCCGTCCCACTCCGTCATCGGCGGACGCCACGTTGAAGAGAGCCTTGCATACGACGTCAATAATGGCCTCGTCGCGATCACCCAGCTCGTCCTGTGCCACAGTGCGGCTCAACACCTCGACCAATCGCGATGTGCCGCCCAGTGCGCCCAGTACATGCTTGCGTGAGGCATCCATTGTGAAGTTGATGAGCGTGCCGCATACAGAGTAGAGCACCTCGGCGTTGCTGTGGTCCAGAAGCAGCACCAGGGCCTCCACAACGCGGGCGGCCTGTGGGCGCGATGCGGGCAGCGGGCACGCAAATGCAGGAAGGCGGGCAGACTCTCCTGAGCGCGTTCGCTTCCTGGTATGCGGTGCGCTCGACAGGACGAAATGTTTGTAAACGATCCGGTATCATTAGCTCTGCCTGCATATCACTTGCGCACCTGCATATAGTCGCGCACTTCTGGTGAGCGCGAGAAATTGCCGTACACACGCGCCGCCTCGATGACTGCCTCCTCGTTGTCGCACATAAGCAGCGGCGTAATGCGCGGCATGAGTCGTGCCGGTGGGAGTTGCAGCACCTGGAGGGGAAACGAGGGTACTGTCACAATGAGGGCGAGGCCTCTCGAGCTGCGCAGCAGGGGCCAACCTCACAAGCGAGCTTGCGGATTAGCATTCACGCCACGCTGCTTGCGATAAAGAACATCCGGCAGTGGCTCTCCTTGGTAACGCGAGGACGGATATGCTGCGTGACTTGCTTGTGACCGAAACCGAGCCCATTTCCACGGTTGGTACTCGGGTAACCAGCCGGCAGACTTCAGCTGACCCATTCCGAATACCTTCCCGAGCGCCGACGCACACCGTGGCACACGGAGCACCTCACACCTTGTTGGTGAAGCCGCCAGGCGTCGTATCGCTCTGGTAGTAGGACAAATTGGTGAGCGCGCACACGGTATTAAGCACCAGCTCCTCTGCCGCCTCAAAGCTGTACGCCTCCAGCAGGTGCAACAGCGCGTCTGCCACGTGCGCCTCTTCCGCTAGTGTGTGTCCCGCGTCGGACCATATGGCCAAATTGGCAGCCAGGCGGAGCACCTTCACCAGGCAGTCCTCATGGCTCGCGGCGCGGGACAGGCTGCAGGTAGGGCCACGGGGCATGGAGAAGAACATCTATCGCATCCTGGAGCTGCACTCTGGTACAGAACTGATGTCAAGCACGGACAGGGGCGAAAGTTTAGCAGGAAGGGAGGATGCAGAGAGTTGTGGACTAGGTACTGATGTTAATCCATCCAGAATTGATGTTCCCGAGCCCCGGGTACTCAACACAGGTCAACTAGGCTCGCACCTTGCTAACTGGACATCTATTGCAGGGCTCCGAGCCTACAGCTCTACACATGCAGGACATGCCTCACCGGTCGCTCGCCGTGCTGCCGGCCGAGCCTCCCTCGCCGCCCGGGCCGCCAAAGGCGTACCGCTGCAGAATGCCGACCACCGTAACCAGTGCGAATGGGACATTGCAGACCTGTACGGGGCCAGGGCCAAACCCCGACAGAAAGGAGAAACCTCGTCAGTCACACGCATCCTCCCAGGGATCCAGCAGGGGCAAGTGGCAGCCTTTCGTCCCACCGCTCGCACCTACCTGCTCCCGGTATTCATTGCTGGTGGTCGTAAGGTTGCCCAACACAAACGCTACACGGAGCAAGATGGCACGGTTGTCTGCGTACTGCCCAAGCAGCTGGATCTGTGGGAGGTAAACCGCGACAAAGTAAAGCAACAGCAAGGGCCGAAGGGGAAGCGAAAGAGCAGCACACTTTGGGGCGCGTGAATACAGCTAACAGTCGGGACGTTTAATTAACTAAAAAGATACACGCATCCAGCGCCCCCAGAACCCTCCTCGGAGACATAGCCGAAGACTTCTGCCCATCCGCAGTCCATCGCGGCATGCCTTTTCTACTGCTTCGTTTCAGTTCATTAGCGTTCGGCCAGCCCGCGGCTTACCAACAGCGGTGCGTAGGCAGGGTCGGCCGCGATGGCGGCCTGACAGCCCTCGTGCAGCGACAATTTGGACAAGATGCGCCCTGCATTGAGCACAACCTCAACCTGGCCGCTCAGGGCAGAGCAGGCTGCCCGCAGAGCCGGCAGCACGCCGGCGGCCTGAAACGCAGGGGCGTTGTGCGCAGGAACTGCCAGGTTGCGCAACACGCCGCTGACCTGGACCGCCACCTGCCCGCAAGACTCCGCCAGGCCTTCGTCGCCGGACTTGGCCTGCACGGGTGCGCGAGGCCAAAAATATGTGGTGAAGTAGTAAACCGTCACGCAAGGCCACCTGCAAAACGCAAAGCCCTAGGAGGACACAGGAGGCGTGTCTCCCAGGCCTAGGTGCAAAACATAAGATGTGAACCGGAGTGAAGCGCCAAACGGAACGGATGTGGGACAGCATTTCATAGCCCCCCCAGAGCGTCATGCTGTAACCCTGACGCTTGCCGCAGGTCACGCCTGGTGTGCCGCCCCCTTACCACCCATTGGCCAATCCTACCTGGTCAGCCATCTGGGTCAGCAGGGCTGCTAGCACGTGTAGGGTGCCTAGCTTCACCAGCCCCTTCTGGTTGTGTGCCTCGTTGGAGATGTTCTTAAGGCAGCCATTCATGTACACCAGCGGCTATCGGGACCGGGGCCGGGACACGGGAATTATGTAAATTAATGACAAACCCAAATGGGATCACCAATGTAAACCCAGTTGCCCGGGCCGCAGGGGTAGGGAAACGTGGGCTTGGGGTGTCGAGACCTGGGGTGAAAGAGGCTCACGGGCTGGCATGGCATGCGCCGAGATCCCAAATATTCTTAAACATGTTACGTCGGAAGGGAGTCGCCGGGGCGAACAGCTGTTTCCTTTTGAGGCACCGACTGCAGGCGGCGCTATGTTACCCAAGGCAGTACCGCAATTGATAAGGCACTCCTTGTAGCAAGACCTCTAGCTCTTTAACTCTGCTCGATATCCGGACTCCATTTGTACCTATTCCGCAGTCCCGGTGGCCGTGTCGCAAGGCAACATTTCGCAGACCTGCCCCGGAGTGCTCCGACCCATTGAGCCCTCTTCCCAATGGCGGGCTGTAAGCCGAACTCGGCCAGCTACACCGCCACGATTTCAAGCGTCCAAATGAGCCCTAAAACCCTAAAATCCCTTTTGCCAATGCGACCAACGCATCGCACCCTAACGCAGCAGAGGTACCCCAGCACAACTGACGTTCACGGCTTGTTCCTATCCTGCTATTCTTCGCCAGGTCCAATCAGCTTCAAAGAGCGTACGTACCCCAACCTTACCCACCTCATGCATGTTGCCCGGGTTATGGCTACCCCGCACGCTGGCTACCATGATGTGCACAGTGTGAACCAGCGGCTCCAGCAGCCCCTCACGCCGGAATAGCGCATCATTGCTGCCGTCCTTACTCAACCGGTATAGCAGCTTGGCAGTCTGCAGCAGTGGCTGGCGGTTCTTCACTACCCGCAGCACTACAGCGCATGCCTGCTCGCAGACGGAAAAAGGGGCAAGACCGCCGGCCAAGCGCGGCCACGGCAGCCATGGCGGGCCAGATCTGTACCCGTTTGGAGGTTTAGCAAGTTATCCCAAGGCACCGTGCCCAGGTCTCGTTCTAATTTCTGCAAATTCTATGTTTTGTTAACAACCCCTCCCCCGTCGTCAAACCTTGCGTGTCCTCAAGAGGCAAGGTGCATTCACAGTTTAAGCTGTTTAGTTCTAGATCAGAGCGGTGCTGGCCAAATTCCGCATCCGCGAACTTCTTCTCTTTCAACGCCAACCCGGAAGGACAGCCCAATAAAACCAAACCTTCATTAGCAGCTCGCTATTGCTCGAGTCCATCAGCCGGAAGGCGTGCTCCGAAATAGCGTCCCGCAGGCTTAGCTGCGCGCCGCCTGCATCTCGAAATGCCGTGGACGGTGATTTCAGCCACCTTGAAGAATGCTCCCGCCGCCGCGCATCCTCTACCAGGGTCCCCAGCTTGCCCGCATGGCCGCACAGCGCAGAGCTTCCCGCCTTGCCGCTGATAGACGCAGTGAGGTCCGTCAACACGACTTCCACACTGCTGCGCCACGCAAGGAACTCCAAGTCGGCCTCCAAACCGGCCGCCGGCACACCGTTGACGGCAGTGGCGGCGGCTCCGCCGCTGCCGCTCACGCTGGCCGGTGCCGAAGTCACCTGCTGCGGCGGCTGCGGCGGCCGACCAGACCTTGGCGACGCTGGCCCTGGCACCGGACCTGCTTGCCGCGTTTCCGAGCCCTGCTGCTGCACCTCCACCTGCTTGCTGCCCGCCCCCTGTGGCTGTTGCCGCTGCTGCGGCTGGCGCGATGGGCCCCCCGCTGCACCAGAATCAAAGTCGTTCTCCTCGTCATCTGAGTACTGCGCAAAGGCAGACATGTCCAGCACCTGCGCGCCGTTTCCCAGGTCCTGCACACCTGGTGGCGGCCCCGGATAGCGCTCCGTGATGGGATCCATGTCGGATAGGGCGGCCGAGCCGGGCCGGCCGCGGGACGTGCCTGGCCGTGGCGGCAGGTCGTCGTTGCGCCTAGGGTCCAGCAGGGGCCCGTCTCCGCCCTCAATGTACACACCGTAACTGAACTCGGCGCCTAAATGTCCGCCACCGCCAGGAGAAGTTTGTGCATGGTGACTGGAGGCCGAGGAGGTGGCGGTACCGGTAGTTGTGCTGTGGAAGGCCGAGGTGGGTATGGCGGCAGAGGAGGAGGAGGCACGGCCGGAGGTGTCCGGCGGCTGTGGCCCGTCGGATGTGGACCCGCGGGATTGGGACTGAGAGGAGGAGCCCGTGGTGATGGGCCGGGTGGCAAAGCTGGAGGCAGGGAGGAGGGAACGGAAGGTGTTACGTGTGAGTCTAGGGGCATGGAGAAGGAGCATAACAAGGAGATTTGGAGAATCAAGGGCGCATGGAAGGAAGCGATCGCGGCGGGCTGAAAGAGCGGGCCATGGAGCCCACCGCTCCAAAATCCCAATTCCTTAATACCGGCAATCGGAGGCCTAACCTTACAACTCGCTGCTTCAAGTTCTGCACAGAAACACACAAAATACCTAAGGAGACGACATACACATGTGTGACAGAAACGAAGCCACACCAAAAATGCCCATCTTATCCCCCGTGCAAGTTTAGCAACCCCCATCCCTCCGCTTCTTCCCTTCTTTCCGCCCTCTAAGGCCGTAACACACCTGAATTCCCCCCCGTCTCCGCCCATGTTTGCCTTCAGGGCCGCTATCGCCTCCGCGGTGGTTTGGCGGCTGCGGGGCCCTGCTGCTCCCACCGTGGCCTCCAAGCCGGGGAAGCCACTGGAGCTTGACAGTCTGCAGCTGGGAGGCAATACAGTTTAGGTGCTATGTCGCGGGCTAAAAGATCGCAGCCCGGAGTTAATTCTCACCTTGACGCCTCCCGCTCCGCGATGGACCCCTGCCTCCGCAATGTGCTTGACGCGGCAGTGTCTGCAAACCCACATCGGGGGGAATTGTGAGCATATCCATGGGCTTTGCCCGGCCGCGAAGGGGTCAAGCTATGGGATCCCATCACGGAGCGCAACACTCGCGTATGCGGACAGCAGGAAGGCAGGCTGCACCGTGAGTGCACAATCATGACCCTGGTCAACAGAAATCTCCTCACCCGGCCTGCCCGTGTCAAGCTTAGGGAGAGCGAGCTTGGGTGCGCCATCCGGATAGAAGCTTTTGCTGCGCACATGCCAACACATTTCCGTTAAGGTGTCATGCCGACCGTGACAGGAGCAAATGCAATGATCCATCAGACCTTACCTGCCGGATACAGAGTATGAAGTCGATGGACGGTTGCTGGGGTCCCCGGTTGTAAACAGCTGCCGCCCGTAGTCCGCAGGAGTCACCGGGCGCGTGGGCTCCTTCAAGGATGCCCTACGTAACATGCATGAATTGCATGTCAAAATAACACCTCATCCGCAATCCGGCAAGTTGTCCTTACTTGGCCGCGCGGACGACAGAGATGGGAGCGTTCGGCCGCAGCTCATACGGGTCTCCCTCATCGGCAGCCTTGGGTGGTGGCATTCGTAACTTATATGAGTTATGTTAACATATCACGTTTCCTTCGTTCTTCGGGTTTGGTCACGGTCTACTCGTTAGGGTAAGAACCAACAAATTGACCACTTAGGTGCAGTTACGCATCATGTGCATCCATACGTTACCAAGAACTAGAAGTCAGTGAAACGTGCAGTTTAGCGGAGTTGCGTACGGCGAACGAATGCCATAAAGATGAGTTACGATGCCAAGGTGCGTAATGGGTATGACTTGCACCGCGAGGTGGTTTTGCTTGAACGCAAGGGTTTCGGACCTACTAAAGTCCCTAAGGACTTGTCGTGTCCATTCTCAGCTATACCCAGAGTTCTGTAGCTGGCGCACAAGGAAACCTTGCTAGGCTGCTTTCCCGGCTTTAGACACTTCGTTGTGGAAAAGCTCCTGTTGTCGGGAGGCGGCTTCGCGGTGGGCATCAGTAAACATCTCCTAACGCCACGAAACTATGGCTGTTCGACCGTCGCGAGGCAATGTTGTCCTGATTACAGGATGCAGCGACGGGGGCATTGGTGAGGGGCTTTCTGTGAGCGTTTCACTACTTGCACCGCGTACAGTTTGGCACTAGGCCTCGAGGACCATGTAGGAAAGCGTACACGGCTGCGTGACCTGCTTTCAATATTTGCTTATACCTGCGAGTCTTGTGGGCTGTGTGACTGCCCGACCCGCCCCGAGGGGAGCTTCTCCAGCTCCGTGGGGCCAGGAGCAAGCTGCGACTCCTTTAATTAGCAACAGCGAGCTACAGTGCTGCTTAAGCATTCCTGCCTCGCCACCCAATCCTACATTAGAATTTACTTGAAAGCGGCACCCGGTGGTAGCTCGCTGTCGCTCATTGCTCATTGTGTAGGAGCGCTATCAATTCGCGAGCTTCTCATCAGGGATGGTGGTCTGACCCTGGGCGGCTACCTCCTTTTTCCCTCACCTGCATCTGCCGGCCTGGCCAGAAGCAGGGCATCCCCATACCGAATCCAATTCATAGCCCCTTTTAAATCGGGATCAATTAGAATCCACCTCACAGCTCCGCATGCAGCTCTATGTAGTCAGCGTGGACGACCCTGCATCGCTCACCTTAGCCGCCTTTACGTGAATGCTGATCACGTGTTGAGGCGGCGTGCATGTCGTGCAGAGTGCCGTCTATGGGCTATGGGGTTTAGCCTCCCTCCGCGCATTCCCCACCTGTAAAAGCAGACCCGAGCAGCTGACCCTAGTGCTGACGCATGTAACCCTGAGCGGGCATCTGTAAACGATGACAGAACTGCAAATATGCTGCGGCGCATACGTGGACACGACTTCCTCGTCATATATCTTCTACATACAACTACACTTCTGTGCAGTTCTGCACTTCCATCCTTCCGTACATGTCCACGTGGCCCACGCCCCCCCGCGCGCCAGGTGCGGCGCTGAGTAAGGCCTTCCATGAAGCCGGCTGTACCGTGTTCGCCACCGCACGGCGCCTGGAGGCCATGGCCAGCCTCCGGGAGTTGGGCATCCGGACGGTGGCTCTGGACGTGACCAACGATGATTCCGTCAAGACTGCCGTGTCGGCAGTGCTGGCGGAGGCAGGTCGCATTGATATCCTGGTCAACAACGCGGGCATGGGTCTGGTGGGTGCGCGAGCTGTGTGCGGTGACCCCTGCGACGCCCTGGGACGGCCTTTGGTCTATGGCCCTATGCTTGGTACAGCACTAAACTTGTGAGAATGTGCGCTGTATGGAGCGGGCTGTACAGTGCGTGCAGCCGCGTTGAAGTCGGTGGGCCCCACGGCTGCCTGAAGGTGCCCAGGGAGAGGGAATAACCTTCAAGTCCCGTCCCTGCACTTGCGAGCGTTCCTTTGCCGTTTTGTGGGGTCAGGGAAGGGCGCGTACAGCTGCACCGTCGCATCGCGGTGGATGCCCAGCGGCATTTGCTGCGAGTGATACCTCCAAGAGCCGTATTAATGTTTCTCGGATATGGCTAGGGCTGACATTGGACGCCGCTTGGTCTGTGTGTTGTGGAGTTGCAGGCCGACTGCTGTGACATGTAAGCGCCAGTCCTACGTCGGCACGTGAACGAGGTTCATCCTGCGTCGCGTCGCGCTCAGACTTTTTGTGGCATTATGTTTTTGACCTGTCTCCTGCTTTTCGGGTTCTTTTCCGCCCGCGCCGACGCATGGGTCCGACAGGTGGCACCGGTGGCGGAGGTGGACATACAGGAAGCACAGGAGGTATGGTGTCCCACCTCGTGATGTACAAATTAGCCATCCGCGCCTGGAGATAAACTGGAAGCCGAAGGCACGCAGCTGCCGAAGGGCGCCGTCCATTTGCCATTACTAAGGGCCATAGGATTTAGCCCGTACTGGCCTACCTGCACCGAGACGTGTGCTTGCCTGACTGCTGGGCATCTGGTGTGGCTGCAGGTGTTCGACACCAACTACTGGGGTACGTTGCGGATGGTGCAGGCAGTATCTCCACACATGGCCACACGGCGCAGTGGGCTCATCTGCAACGTCGGCAGTGTGGTGGGCTTCATCAGCACGCCCTGGGGTGCTATCTACTCATCCTCCAAAGCCGCCGTGCACTCGCTGACGGACGCGCTGCGGCTGGAGATGCGTCCCTTCGGCGTGCGCGTCGTCCTGCTGGCCCCGGGAGCTGTCAAATCTAATATTGGAACCAACAACCTTAAGGTGCGTAATTGCCAGCCGCCTGCCCTACCGCTGCACGAGCAGCAGCGGCGAAGAGGCGTAAGGTTCCCAGTTCTGTAATGCTTGTGAAGGAGGGTGGTCCATCAATTGGCGACCCTTCGTCCGTGCCGCCTTGGAAGTGTACGTGGCGCAGCGCAAATGGGTGAACATTGCTTAATCCGTGCGTCAATGCACTTTCGCTGGTAGTTTTATTGCTTTTGCACCTGCTCGCACGAAATGGTACCAGCGGGCTTCAACGCCGCAACGGTCCCCAGTTGCAAGGACTGAAGGGCTGCTAGCTCGCGTAGCGAAGTAGTTGGGAATTGCCTGTTGGCTTTGGATGGTCACCGTGGACCAATGCCTTCATGTTGATTTTTCGGTAAGGACCGCCCGACCATATGCCCGACCATATGCCGATGTTCCTTATACCCTGGTCTATCTGATAGAAAGTGCCTTTCGATGTCCATTTCTCTGGGGTTGCGGGACTGATGGCCTTGATCCCTGAACGGTCGCCAGTGAAACATGAAGGCGCTAGGCAACGAGGAGCCTCTCAAACCACAAAACATTATAATGTGCAAATGCGGAAGCTATCTTTGAGGTGCCCTCCTTTCCTCAAGCTGGAAAGTCGTCCATGCTTTCTGAGCGTGAGCCCAGTTTCCATTTTAGGCATGGTCTTCCAGCATGCGTCGTTGCTGCCAAGCTGAATGATTATAACGACACTAACCCTACATAACGACTCTTAACCCGTCAGCCTACACAGCGTTACGCTGCCTTCTGTGACGCCCCAACCGCCTTGCTCTTCTTCAGCGTTTTGGCGGCCAGTTCACCCTGTACGCGCCGTTCGTGGACGTCATTCGCGAGCGTACCGTGATGAGCCAGGGTACGGAGTCCATGCCCACGGACACCTTTGCTCGCCGCGTTGTGCGAGAGCTTCTGCGGCCCTGCCCGCCGCGGCGTTTCCTACTGGGTGGCTTTGTGCCGCTGATGAAGGTTGTCATGTGGTGGCCGCTGTGGCTGAAGGACTGGCTGCTCAAGCGCACCTTCAAGATGAATACGGTGCGGCTGCCGGCGTCGCCAGTGGCGCCTGTCGCAGCGGGCGCAAAGAAATTAGACTGAGGGCACCGTTGGTATGTTCTGGAGGGCATTTCCAGTGTGTATTAGGGGTTGAAGGAGAGGAGGACAGGGTGTGGGGGTTAGTAAAGCGTGCGGTATATGGTTTGTGGTGGGGACAAGGCAAATTGGGTCGCCGGACAATGGACAATGGTGATGCGGCGGACGTAAGTAACAAGGTCTCGTCATTGGTTTCAGGCAGGACGCAATGTACAGAGCGTTTACCTCGTGGGAGAGCACGCGTGCCTGCAGGATTGGTCCTGGAGGTTACGGAAGCAGCTGCGACAAATGCTGCATTTGCATACCCTTCGCCATCATCTGGGGGCCAGCGGGAACTCAATTTTACCTAATCTATGAAGAATTTCTGTTGGGCAGCAGTCTGCGAATTGCGTGAGTGCATCACATGAACGCATTGTGGGTGCATTCCTTGCAGGTTGCTCTCAAGCCATTCACTCTGAATGGCATTTCCCGGCTTGTAGACAGCATTGCCGACGCATCAATTAGGATTATTTTTTCTTTCACTCGGCTGTTATCTTGTTTGTTAAAGCCATTCTATACCTTGCTGCCAGCCCTCTTTCCAAAGAGAGGTTGTGTAATATGTCCCTGAAAGTCAAAAGCGTTGGAACTCCACAGTGGGGTCTTCACACGCGACAGGCCGTCCGCTTCGGGGCAGGGGTTTTTGGTCACATTCCATACAGCGGTTGTTGATTGGGCTGCAAGCGGTTACAAGCATGCATGTCCTCCCACCAATCGATTGAAGTGAGACAGCAGGGACAGCCTGAAAGTCTGAAACCATTGGTGGCTAGGTAGGTAGCCCTCAAGATACGGGTGTGCTATGCATGTTACTACTTTATCGCGGATATGGTCCTTCCTCGGATATAAGGCCTAAAGCTAGCGTTGTGATAAGGACCCTCCATGGCACGGCTTTCCGCAACCTGTGCGCAACAAGCCCACAAGTGATGGTATCCAACCCTGCAACACAAATACCAACATGACCGCTCAGCCGTGCATCTGCATCCAAGACCAGACCTCCGCATTATTTGGTAAGACGAATAGGCCTCAATCATCGTCGAACAGGTTGGGCCGCCGCCGTTGTATCGTGATTTTTGGTTTACTGGCGCCTTCCCGCTCATTGACCTGCTCCAGCAGCTGCACCAGCCGCTCCTCCGAAACCTAGCAACGAGCACATGCAGCGGCAGAGAAGCGCGCTCAAGCAGCAAGACTCAAGGCTGATGGCAGTTGCCTGCTTAAATGCACGAACCACAGCAAGATGCATCACCCCAAAAGTGCAAGTGCTCAAACCTTGCAGATAACCAGAAACGGTATGCATCCTTTCATCTACATGCGCCTTCTCAATTGCTGTCCTTTACACCGCACACTACATGCCGACATGCAAGGGACATGACTGGCACGACACAAATTATAGGCCTTGGACAGGGATGCTGCAAAATCGATGTGCTTAACGCATAGCATCTGGGACAAGACACGTCGCTGCAGGGTACGGGCTGCGCAAGAAGCCCGGCAGCTCGGTCTCCGAGCCACCCTCCAAACGCTTCCCAGAATAGGTTGATCCCCTCCTCATTCACCTCTAAGTTGCCCCAGTCCATCACCCACCTTGGCAGTCAAAGCGCCTCGTTGCGCAGCTGCGAGGATCATGTTTTCAACGCTCCTCGCCTTGTCCGGCTTCACAATTGCGATGCGTGCCACTGGACGGCATTTGACAGATAACACGCGGCCATTGCCATCGCCGTATTGCACGCAGCAACGCACTAACTGATAATGGGGTTCACGTCTTGACTTGGCGCACTCATACCAAACTGGATACGTTTAAGGCTACTTACAAAACGTATCCAGTTTGCCTGCTTACAAAAGGCACGGACGTAAACTGGCTACAAGCAAACCACACTACTCTAGCCCCTCCCTCGTGTGCTTAGGTATGTGGGCAGGTGCCTTTTTTGTCTCTGTTGTCGTCAGCATTTAATTAACTGATTATGGGACTCACATCTCTCGCGAGCTTCACTCGTCATGCAAGCTGCCAGCATAGTACGGCGTTGCTCCTCAGCTGACCTGCACAGCCACACAGGAAAGAGGCAGCTTAATGAAATAGGATGGATGCTCCATGCACACACATCAGATGCGCCATGGGCAGTGGGATTGTATCAAGATGGTTACAAAGGTTTGCCATACACACAGCTCCCAACCGGTCCTTTCGTAAGCAAGTGTCCTCCCCTTTTTCTATTGTTGTGCTCGTCAATTCACAAGCTGAGCACGTGGCTTCCGCTAGCGTGACTTTTTCCTCCAGCCTGCAGATTCAGCCTGTTTCATTGTTACCCGTGAAACTTGAGCAGGGAAAGAGCAAGCTTGGATAGGATGGCGTCGAAAGGAGACAAATTGCTGCCAGAAACCTTGTTGCATGATTATAAGGGCGCTCCGTGCTCCAGCAATAATCGTACACCAAGACGCACGCCCGACCCCAACCCCTTTTTTCCCCATCCGTGCCTTCGACACTTAGTCATCAACGCCCCCCCATGGCGCCTTGCCATATGTTACCCCCTTTAATAGCTTGCTCTATGCTACTCGCTATGGCCCCTTGCTCTAGCAGGCGAAACATCACGATGATCAACTCCCCTTGCCAGAGACGAGTGGATGGCGTTTCCTTCGTCTCCAAGATGTTCTTTGGTTAAAATTCGCAACCATGTCAAAGTTGTGCACTTCACATTGAAGGTCCCGACCACCGTGCACCCCATCAACACATTGACGAGTTTCGAACGCAATCATGCCATCAGACCTACCGTTTTGCTTCCTCCTGAGCTTCAAGTTCCTCTTGCGACGGTGCGCCCTGAACGCATACGGATCGTGTCAACCTGCTAAATGCCCGTCCTTTACCAAAAGGATCTGTAAGCAATCTGTACCTTTCCTCCCTGAGCAGCCATCATGGCTGCAAGTCGCTGCTGCTCGTCAGCCATCCTTGGCGCCAACTATCTCGACAATGCCCTTTCACGAGGTCTAGGAGATTTGTTGATGTTCGAGATAGTGGCCACGCGAAACCGATATGTAGTTGGCAGCTCTTTATTTTCTTACTGCCATCTGTAACCGTAGCTCTCTATCCACACGAATCCCTGGGCCAGGTGCTTTTACAATAATGTGGCATCCCGATATGATTGGAAGTAACAAGCATGGCCGTTTTCGTACGGAAATGTTACCGTACAAAACCCAAAAGCTGTCTCGTCAAGGTTCCAACATACACATGTCACCAGGCCCTCATTCCGGACATCATTTACATCAGTCAACACTGCAGTGATCACGTGGTTTAAAGCACCTAGAGGACCTTCCCGAGCCTTTACCTTTACCGAATCCCTCCCTCCGTCCCCAGAGCCCTTCCATGTTCACCATTCCTCCTCACAACAGGCAAAGGACCTAGATCGCCTTCAAGATACACCTTTCCAAAGCACGACAACCCCTCGTCGAGGCGCCTCGGACGTCAGCATTATTGGCTCCGACACACATAGTGCGCCATGCTCTCCCTTTCCTCCTCCCTCTTAGTTCATTACAACACATGGCATTTCTGACATGGACAAGACTCGGCCGGGCCCATCTTGTACAACATGGTTGCAGCCCTGCATTGCATTGCATTGCATTGTATTGAGTCGTCCAAAACATCGTTTTCCTCCAGCCCGATTTGTCGTCAGCTGTGCTCTCCTCCTTCCCTAACCTACTGACGTACGTAAACGACAGACCTCAGCCTTGCTGGCAAAACCAGGCCTTCCGGATGCTTCATGTAGACAATATCCTGCCGCCCCTTTTGGTTCGATTCCTCTTGACATCTTCACTCGTAGCACGGTCAGGGACTAGCTGCCACATTGCCCAGGACCTGGGGCTCGCAGCCACCTTTGTGTACAGAGGACGTCATCTTGCGGGGCTAGCCCCGGATGCAGGCACGGTGGCGTCGAGACTTGCGCAGGGTCGACCCACGCCTGAACCGGTGGGATGGTGCCAGGAACGCCGCAACAAGGCACGAGAGCCGTGGCCGCTCCCAACGGCCTTGGCAGGAACTCATCCAACGCTGTGGGGCAGCACTGTTGTAACTCCGAGCGCCCCTTCATCGCAGACAGCATTGCCAGGTCTGCGGGACTCAGGTCCATAAAGCTGCCTGAAGCTACACCGTCAAGGAGCTGCACTTCCAGAGGTGAAGGTAATGGCGGCGGTGGTGCGGCAGCTGCAGTTCCGACGTTTAGTTCGGGTGTCCCTTGAAGAGCTGGTGGGCTCGTTAAGCTCACATCAAAGTACTGCGAGGAGCAGAGCGGCGATGCAGGGAGTTGCTCTGCTGTTGACAATGGTAGCGGCGGGGTGACATTGGCGGACAGCGCTGCTGCGCAAGGCTGCGGCTGCGGCACCTCCATGCCGAGGTGTTGCAGCATATGGGGCTCCTGCGAGCGCTGTGACTGCAGCAGCTGCTGAACAGGGGCCGGCGCTGGCACTGTTGCTTGCGCCAACGGCGACGGCGCCAGCACCTGCGACCCCGCCTGCACCTGCATCTGCACCTGCGTCAACTCTTGTGCCTGCTGTGCCTGCGCTTGCGAGTGGATTTGCATCTGCGCGTTGAGCTGCTGGTGCTGCAGCAGCAGATAGCACTGCTGCGCCCGGAGTCGAACCTCCATTTCGTCCAGCTGTTCGTCGTTCATGGACTCGACTGCACAAGGAGGAAAAGGCGAACGACCAGCTCAGGCAAAGAACACCACGGCGTCCCGGTTATGGTAGCTGGGGAGGCTTTGAAGTTGTTATCAGAGGACATCTGGTACACAAATAAATGAGACACTCACCACAACTGGGGCTGAGCTGCGATAAACAAAACGGTCCCCGAACATGCGACCAGGCCGCTAACTGGATCTCATTGAGAGCTGTAGGCTGCTACCGCGTAAGGAAACCCAATGGCCCCTACCTTTCCGGAGCTCCTTAAGCTCGGCCCGCTGAGATCGCTGCACCGAGAAGTCCAAGCCATCTGAAGGATCAGGCCCCAGCACTTCGGCAGGTAGCCCCTCTGACGGGTGGTCACACACGGCAACGGGAAAGCGCTGGAAGTTCAAAAGGGTTGGGGTTTTCGGTTTCCTTTGATGCTGTTTGATGCCGGCCGCAAGGTAGTGCCAGGGCGTGTGAGCGTACCTGCCACCTCCGAAAGCCGTTCCGAAAGTTTTCTTAGGTCTATCGAAGCTGGCGCGCCGGCCAGCTGTCTGCTAATGTCCACAATCTCGTGACGGATGCCTACCAAGACGTGTTCCAAGCACCCTGTACGCGTGGATGTAATATCGTGGGGTACGGGAAGGTACAAAGTGGGAGACTCGGACGCGTGACCTTACCCGATGCAAGATACCGAAAAAGATGATGAACCTGCTGACATTTGGCCTCCTTTTTGGGGCATTTGCAGCAACCTGATTGCCGGAGCTGCTTGCGCCACCATGGCGTCCGTAAGAGACGATTCAACACGCTGATCTCAATGAGATTGAAACTCATCGTCGTCTTGCCATACATTTTCCTTGCTTCGGGCGCCGCTTTGGGCCGCCCTGGTCCCGGTGCGCCACCTTTATAGCGCCCCATCGAAGTTCTATATCAACCCTTAAAAATAAGTAGGAACACTAAGCATAAATTTATAGGCCAAATGTTATGCAAGGTAGTGAGGAACACTCGCTCCAGGATTTCCCCTTGCCGCTGGTCGATACCTGTATTCTAAGCTAGGTTTATAGCTATGGCATTAGTGAAAATAGTATATAATTCTATATCCGTCAAAGCATATGCAATTGCTCGTTTGTATTACTGAAGATCCCAGTTGTGCGACGGTTTCAAGCGAGCTGTGAAAAAACTCGTGTCGCATGCCGAACATGTTTGTTATGCAAAGTACACATTCAGATCATTAACATCCATTAACTCCAATTCTGGAATCCATTATTGCGATTTACCAGAGCTTGATCGCATGTCGAAGATGGTGTGCCCCGCAGTACCGTACACTAGTCATGTCCGGTCCATACTGTCAACGCTGTTATAAATATTTAAGCAACAAATTAAAACATCAAATTTAAATAGCTGACTTTTCAGTATCGATTCCTGGGCTGCTAACCCCCTGATCTCGCCTTTTTTTGTATGTTCAAAGGGCGTCACTCCTAAATAATCAACCCCTTTCCCTTTCACTTGCTGACAGATAAATTGTGCTGGTTAGCGATGTAATACCCCTACGTGCTTTCTGTAAGGGTTGCACGCACGTGCAAGCACGTCGTGCAAGTGGAGGATACGCAGGTATCGCAAACAGATATGGATCCCTATACATCAATCCAGCTGCTAGAGCCTGTGCACCAGGATAACTAGCGGCCATAACCTGCACGACGTGCTAGCACGTACGTGCAAGAAGGTGACGCTTTGCAGCGGGTTCAATCCAGTGTAACATGTCAAATGGCTTTGGTGGTGCTGATAACGCCTCAGGCCACGGGCCGGGCATTACGTAAACACCTATGACTAAGTGCCACGTCGGCTGAGTCCGCACATGCTGGGGTAATATTATATTGAAATGGAAAAAGATTGACATGCATCAGCTGCAGTGCGTTTCCGCAGTGACATGCTCGCCGGGACTTCTTGAGGGTCGACGGAGGGATAGACGCGACGCAAAGAATACTCGGGGATACCTACCTAGAACCCAATGCGCTGCCCCGAAGTAGGCGTCCGCCCTAGGCGATACACGTCTGCCAAGATGGCATCTTCTAAGATGACTTAGTACGGTTGGAATCGTAAAGGACGAATGTAGTGCGAAGAGCTGTCGTCTGCACTGGGCCCTATGTCTCGAACAGGTGGAGATCATCATCTGCCAGATTGCAGGAGTCGTGTACAATATTCATCCCGTGCGGTGGAGATGAGGACGCAAGGAGCGGGGAAGCGCATTAGGGAATAGCCTAACAAATGCTCAAGGGTGAGACATGGCAATGGCGTGGCCACTGGGCATTAATGTACACGGGCGGACCCCTGGCGCCTGGCAGCTACATCCACGTCCCAAGCGGTTGTTGGCATCCAAAGTGCCGCTTTCGACTGCAACTCAGGTAAAATCATCATTTAGATGCCCAGCAAAGCACAGGCCATAGGTAAGGCAGTCCCCTACCAACACAACGCTCATTACCACCTAATAAGGTGTGGCCAAGCAGGTGCACCACCCTTCGCAGCACCATCACCGCCAACCGGTTTGCGAGCGCATTTTTGATATGCCGTCCTTTACCAGCCACGTCACAGACACACCTGGTACCGCAGGTTGCCTCTTTGCCTCTTTATTGAAATCGTGTTATGTGGCACGCCTTGCAAGGTTCAACCGATTAACAATATGCTCATTCATCACAATTGATGTCGGACATCGTCGTACATATGTAGGTCAACACCTGGTTCCTCGCCTTGCACAGATGGGCGCCAGGTCGTGCAGCCCCCCTGATAACACTCACATACATTTTACGTAATGCGCTCCATCTTCCTCCATCTTCCACTTGTCCGCGCATCCACCTCACCATATGAGCTCTTTCAGCTCTGTTTTTTGGCATAATACCACCGCACACTTGGTGCTCCAACGGACGATGGACACCAGCTTGGGCTCATGACAAGTACGTACCCCGGAGCCGCACTTGACGCAATGCCTGGCATCGGGTCCTGCCCAGCCATCAGACGTACATCTGCATTTCCTCTCACAGTTACCGTACCAAATAAGAACCCGGCGATGGTGCAGTGTTGGACCGGCATTGCGCCGTCCCGCCGAGCGCCGCTCCACCTCCTGCCAAGGCGACAGTGATACCTAATTCGGCGACACCACTGTTATGTAGTGCGAAGCGAGAAGCGTTGTGCGCCAGACCACTCGCGTGGGACATGAGGACATGCACTCCAATAATGAAGCAGCGCTGTCCAGGCACCCTGCAGTTGGCCCTACGCCCGGAAGATCTGCACAGTCCGACATTCGGTTGCCACGCCAAGAAATGTGCATGTCCGCATCCCGGCGGCCCTGCCAAGAGCCTAGTGCGAAGACAGCTGCATGCCAGGCGCAGTGAGCAGCCGAAGCCGCCGTAGATACATACCGCAACCCCGGCCCCGGCCCTTACTGTGTTTCAGATGTACCTCAACCCGGAGACCCAGATTCCGGAGTTCCACAAAAACACATACGTCCCGAAAGCACGCAGCATCCTGCCTGCAGCACTCCGCAGCGTACTGCCCCAGGGCTGTGAGGACCGCATCGTCCACGCTCTGCCCATGCTCGCCCACCTTCCATAGCATAACCATGTGTTCACCATTCCGAGGAAGCCCCTACTTAGTGCCTAGCCCGGGCCGACACACACACGCCACCCCGCCTCCATTGGCCTTACGTTGTAGCTAAGCTACCCTAGACACCGGGTCCATTGGACTCCCGTTGATCCCATTGTGGCCATGGGGGCCCCTTTGGGGACCGCAGTCAGTTGAGGTCCAGAGGCGCGTCCGTCCCCAGCAGCTTCTTCCGCAGCATCTGCATGTTCGGTGGTCGCGAGGACAGGGCCCGCTCCACTTCGGCACGGACCCGCTTCATCACGGTGTTGAACTCCCTGCGTGCCGCGCAACGGGGTGAGCGAACGGTCGGATGGATGAGCAAACAGGTCGATGACGGAATGGTCGGACGCGGGGAGGCACAACCGGCTGGACACATGGGTGGGCAGGTGGGTGACTGGGTTTGCCCCGGAGCCCCTAGGGGCTTCCAGAACCGAGGAAGCAAGGGCGCATACACACGGACACGTTGAGGACGTCACGCGGTCGTGGTGCATTACTCCTATGGGTTGCTGACTGAGGGGTGCATCGCCTCCAGTGCCACCCCTAACAGGATAGGTGCTGATCAACGGCCGCCGTGGCGTCAAGCCATCGGATGACCAGTATTGTGAAACACCCATTGTGGCAACCCTCCTAGCCAGCCGGTACAACGTCCAGCGTATCGCGATATCGCAAGTCCTCGCAGGAGGCTTTGCAAGGCAAGGCTGGCGGAAACCATGTGGCGCGGAACCCCTCCCAGGGACCGAGTGCTGGAATGTGCACAATGGCACGAATGTTGCTCGTGTGGCCAAGGATGTCCCGTGACGGGATACAAGAAAAACATAAGAGGCCGCTTGTTGTGCCCCAGGGGTTTTGATGCCCCAGATGAAACTGTGCGCACAATCCTCATGCATCCCTGCCAGTGCCAACACCTACCACACTTTGCGTATCTAATCTTTTCAGGGTCACCCTATACTCCCGTCCAGACCTCTTATCGGGACCTTATATTGTTTGTAACCGCCACTCCCACTTCTCGTCGCACGACCCCGCCCACGGCGGTGACTCCCCAAGACCCACATGTACGACGCCCGCATCTGCAGCCACGTGGCGTCCAGCAAGCAGTATGTGGCGCAGTACAGCTCCTCAAACGCCACGTCACTTTGCTCCAATAGGGCAACAAAGCCGCGGCCGGCTGCGGTGTGGGGACCCGCATCAGAAGACGTCCCCTGGGCCTGCGGGCGCGTAGGTGCGAACATTATTTTGCATTCCTAATTCCACGAGGATCCCTTTTCAGTTCTAGGGCTAGGCATCGGGACAGCCACGGATGTGAACGCATAATTTCAATGTACTTTCAGCTGTGCAACCCTCGCCTAGAAGATGACCGGCCCCCAGCCGGGCTTCACCAGCCAGTCCTCCAGAGCTAAGCTCTTTGGTCATCCCGCAGCCCAGCTGCTTCTCCCCACGTCTGTGATCTCTGTGCGTATCTCACTGCGCGCCCATCTGAATTTTGTTTGTGGTTTTGTGGTTTTGCTGTGTTCAGCAACTGCGTATTCCACTGCGTATTCACTCCTGACCCTACCGCACAGCATTTACTGCCATCGCCCTAACTTCACCTCAGGACCTCCTTAACGCCACCCTTGCAAATCCTCTATCCTGGTTCAAGCCAGCCCATAGTTGCTGTGCCCTTGATCCACGTTCCGTGCCACCCGCGTACTAGCATACACTTTTATTTCTCCTGCACTTGCTTCCTCCTTCCTCCAATTCGCACTTCATTTCATGCTATCTTTCAACATTGCGAAAAAGCATAACATAGTCCACCGGTGCGTTTTGATGTACAGGCAATGTTCCATTTCAACACACCCTTTAACCCATCACGCACCACAACCTTTTTCGGGGGATCTTAGCAATCCCCCGAACACGCACCTCTCACCTACGCACGCACAGCAACCCGCACCCATTCGCAAACCTACTGTGTGCAGCTCCAGCAACTCGGAAAGCATGAAGGTGATGTTGAGCCCCGCCACCGCAAAAGGGTACTCCCACTCCGCTCGAGTGCCCTCCGTCTTGTCAACCAGACGCCTGCAGCATCCACGGCCACCACGCAGCAAGAGCGTTAGCCACACAAACATGCCCCCGTTGTTTCGCCAGCCAGGAAAATGCAATCACGTGCTTCTAACCGCCTGCCGACGATCATACCCATCTCCAATTTCCCAGGGGCCAAATATCCCACCCGTGCATTCGGAAGCGGCTGCGGTTCAGCCGAGATGCCGGTAAGAGAATATGGAACCTGGAAGCCTGCACGCCCCAGGTTGCAGCGCACTCCGCTGCGTCCTTCGTCCGGCTATCGTTTCCTGGCCTCACGTCGCCGCATTCCCCACAATAGGATAGGAACAGGTAGACGCATGTCGTAATACACCAAGCCGCACCAGTTCACCTACGACCTGAACGTCTCGGGGTGCACCTCCGCCAGGTAGATCAGGTTGTCCAATCCATACATCCCAGCCCCGCGGAAGTCCGTGGCTGGATCGTCACCCTGCATGGGGTGACCAAGCGCGTGGGGGTGGCGATGAGCGTGTCGAAGCTCATGCTCGTGCAGCAGCCCGTTTCTCGGTCGCATAGCCCGCCCTGGCGTCAAGCCTTCTATTGAGCTCTGCTTATCCTTTCGCCTCTCCCTCATTGGCTTTTCACATCCGCAGTCCGCTCAAACCCCTACGTTTTCCCTCCTTGGCTTTGGATGATTTGGGTCCACAAACCAGCCCAGGTATTTGACCTGCTCCGCGGCTTCCTCTGTGGACCTAGACCCACTCCCACCCCCTACCTGCCAGCCCATCTCCTTCCATTTTGCAGACTTGAGAGCCGTGCACGGCTCGCCCGAAAATGCCAGGCTCCACAGCCGGCGTAGTGCATCCTGCGGCGCCGCAGAGCAACGTGAGACGATGCATCCGTCAGCCGGTTGCGGCCGAGGCGAGCGGCCCCAGGCTGGTGACTCCACTCCTGGGGGCACCTCCTCTTGGACATGCTTGGCCGGCCTTCCATGTCCCTCCACTCACCTGGTGGTTGCTGTTCGCAATATTGAACTTTTCTGCCACCCTCTCCCGAAGCAGCTGTAATCTTTCCGCCTGTGGAGAAAATGACAATCAGCGGGTGGTGTTGGATCGGTTGCCTTCGGCATGGTAAGGGCTTTGATCAGCTTGTCGGCTGTACCGGGACAGCTAGGTGGCTATCACGCACGCGGGGTTTGCTTAGCTGCCGTTTTCTATATCACAAGACCCCGCCTACCTGTAAAAGGGAAATCGGCTGCCCCCATGCCTGCCATGCTGACCCGTGTGGCCAGAAAGCCGTGGCATAGGCGAGGAGGCTGCCTGTGGGGTAGCAAGGTCAAGCAGGGTCAGGGGGGTTGTTTCAATGTGGGACAATAAGGAAGTCGGACCCACGTCTACGGTCCATATCGAATCTTGCCGAAGAGGGAACCAAAGAACACCGTGTCATGTGAGTAAACGGTAAAGGCCTATGCGGATGCAACGCACGCATTGCCCTTTCCGGACGGCCCTGGCCCCACGCTCCCTGGTTTGGGTTTATGCGGTTTGGGGGTTCATGCGCGTGCATTTCCTCGCTACGTATCGCGGTTTTTTGCTGTAAAGATAAGCCGTGTTGGCCTCCCAGTATGCCTGTGCGACCTGGTACCAAGCAGGAGTACGTACACGTGAACCCACAGCAGAGCAACCTCGGGATAAGTGGGTTCCCCTCGCGAGCAAGGCAGCTCACCAAACAAACGGTTCCACCAGTCGAGGATGGACTGGATGAAGGCCTGGAAATTGAACTCCCCAGGATGGACGATTATTGCAGTGCGATTCGCTTCTAGGCGCTGTTCGTGCTGCTCGTCATAGTCCGGAAGCAGTGATTCCGTGAGGCCATCCTCATCTGAAGCGGTGTAGAGCAACTACGTCAGCTGAAACTGCTTCATAGAAACGCCCACTGGAGCTATGCGGATGCAACCGGGCATAGCAGTCTTCCAGGGTCAACAGCATGCCCCTTTTGGACACCTAGCTGTTCCGGCCCAGGAACGGACCTTTGCCTTGTCGTCTTCTGCGCAGGCCAGCCATGCAGGGTCGCGTCGGTATGCCTTCCGCCCCTACCCGGTGTAAACGCAAATGAGGTATGTCGCAAAGTTCTTCCTAGTAGCGGCAATATAACATATCCTTCCTTTTCAAGCTCCGCACTGGGCCAATGAGGTGCCCAGCCTCGCGTTGCAGCCCTAGCCACACGAAACACTCATGCTATCCAAGGTGAAGATACGAAAAGCTATGATTGGATGTGCTGCAATTGTTCAGATTGTAAGGGGAAGTGAAACTGTGACGTACAAGCAACATCCGTGAAATGCGATCCAGGCACTTGAAGAATGTGACACCTTACACACTGGGTAAAGGCCTGTGGCAACCGCAGGAACCGGTAGAGTTTCCATCATACATTGCATGAACTCTATTTTTCCCTGCGGTCTGCAAAGTCACTTGGACTTACAGTGCCCAGATCATCAAACTACCTGGACCAGCAATACCAAGTAGACAAGGCCCTGACTTTTCCGGCTTGTGGATTGAGCATAGTTAGTCAAGATGCCTGCAAAGAGGCAGAATGGAAAGACGGCTATGGAGGAGGTGATGAGTGGTGCCACCGAGAGAGTCCTTAAGCAGGTCAGGTCGCTACTTGAGGTATCAATATCTAAACAACTACGTTTTAAGGCCAGAGCCTGCAATTCTTCTTGGAGCTACCTGCTTCGGCGTCACAGGGTAGCTGACAGTTGCGCACTGAAAACAGATCACGGAGCTGTATGAGACTGGGCTGAGCGGAGCACCAGGATCTATGGGCTTAAAGGTGCGACTCAATGCTGACTGCTGTACACGGGACCAAGATTGACAGTGCTACCATGTGCGTGCTGAGCTCTGCAGTCAATTGCGGAGAGTCCTCTTCTTAGACTGCAAATGCGCAAGCCACGCAAGAAGATAAGCATTATGATTGTTGGAAATCACAGCGCTGGCAAGTCCAGCTTCATCAACTGGTGAGTTGGGTTTGCCGGCCTCCGTAAGCCAGGTGAAAGGCTGCTAATTCTACATGTGTATCATAGGTACATTGGCGAGGCTATCCAGAAGACGGGCGTGGCGATTGAGGTGAGAAACCTAAGCAGTACGTGGGTGTGTTGGGGAAGCTGTATAGTGTCGGGTCATACTTGGTATTCTCGCGACCGGGATGTAGGTAAAGACTGGGGAACCCTTTGCAGGAGCCAAAAAGCGGAATCCTATACCAGGCATGTAAGCGCTGTTAGGGGCACAGATGACGTCACTAGGGGCCATGAGAGAAGGCCTGCATGCCTGCCTACTGCAAGTATATGCGTGCCTGAAGAGGCGTCACGTCCCGTCTGCATTTCTTCTGCAGACACGTGGCTTCACTTTTGTGACTTCGGGCAAGAAACGGGAGACGCTGCAGGGTGATGCCACCGTGCGGTTTTATGACCACCTGCACGAGTTCGGGAAATTCACTGGCGTCATCTCAAACCTCTTCACGGGTATGTCTGTGAGCTTTACTTAGCACGTAAAGAATGCTGGCAAGGTTGCGGGCGGCGTCAGGTTCTGTGCTGGTCCACTCACTAAAGACTCTTTTGCCCTTGATTTGTCCCATTAGAGATTAGCACGAGCCGGGATAAGAATTTCTCCTGCGTCGACTTTATCGATACGCCGGGTCTCGTTGATGGCGAGATGCAGGTATGGCAGAACACATGGCTTTGCTGGGCTGTGCCAGTGCACCTTTTCGATGCCCGTTAAGAGATCTGTCCTCCTTAAGGCAGACGCGACCCCTTCCGCATGTGGGTCTGTGCAAGTAACATGTCACGATGCAACCCAAGTGCGTGTCTTGAACAAGCTGGAGAGCATGCGTGTTCAGAAGCCATTTCTAGTGCTGAGAGGAGGTGATTTTTCCTGCGGGTCATCATGTGTCGACACCACTCAAAGCTCTCGCAAGCAAAGTTGCGGCTTCGTAGGCCTTAACGTTATCCAGATGTTGCGAGCTGCTAAGCAGCGGCCATGGCTTTAATGCAGGGCTGCAAATTTTTGCAGCTCGCTGGGTTGAGGAACACTTGCCATTTGCAACAACGAATGCTATGCTATTGCTACTATCATGATGCTGATTTGATAGTTGTGTCATCAGTTTACTTGTTGGGGCGTGCGTGCGCAATTTGTAAACCCCCAACCCTGCCCTTGCTTGCCCGCAGTACCCCTTCAACGTTCAAGACGCCATAATCTGGATGGCTGACCACGTGGGTTATATTCTTGGCGGGAACGACACGTTAGGTCAACCGTAAACGCATTAATGCAACGCAACTGGCGGTGGTCGCAAGGACGTGGTGCCAGCTTTCTTGAATCAGCACGTTACATGTCAGGCATGCATTGTCGGTCAATGTGTGTCATCTAAACTTAAGCCACATATTCTATACACATTTGCTCAAATACTTGTTCGTACATGCTGTTGCTGTTTCTATTTGCACCGCAGGTCGACCTTATCCTCATCTTCTTTGATCCCATTGGTGCGTAGACAGACCTGCCGCGAGATTGCCGGCATAGTAGACGGCCTTCCTTCAAACCTGAAGAACGGCCATTCAGGATGGTTTTGGTTTTTTGGGGATTGGAACATTCCCCTTGCAGCATGCATCATCGGCCGTACGGGGTTTGTTTATAAAGGCATCGTGGTTGCCTGGGGGCCAGGACGATCCCATTATCGACGGAGTCCTGTCCGCAATATGTGTGGGCCCGGAGGCGTAATTAAGAAGCGACGGACAATTGTGCAGCTAGCCGGGGTGCACGCCCGGCTTCGTAAAAAGGCTGGGTCACCTGGCAACACTGGCAACCTTTTATGGAGGCCGGGACTGCGGCAACATTCCGGCAAATGCTTGTATTGCTATTGGACCGTGGATTGGACCATAATGCCGGGAAATGCCTCGTTATTATGTACTTGCCTGTTGTCTTGTTTTTTTACAGGGCAAGCCACTTGCAAGCGCACCATGGAGGTCGTGGAACGGCTAAATAATGGACCGCACCTGGAGAAGATTCATTACTTCATGTAGGTATGGGTTACAGCCATCTATGTTATGGAGCTGCTGCTCTCCGTGAAGCAACTGTTAATGGGCAGAATGCCTCATCTTCACGACGCCCTGCAAGTAACAGTACATGAGAACGAGACGTTTCTCCTGCCTCTCTTGGCTAATAGGGACTGTCCGCTTGCGCCTGGTGATGTGCTGCAGGTCCAAAGCGGACGCCGTTGACAAGGTGAGCAGGTGCCAGATGTAGCTGCGCCAGAAAGCGGGTTGGCGTATGTGACTGGTGTAAGTCATCCTGCATGCGGGTTGGCGCCACAGCCGTCAGGTTCATGAGGTTTTCCATTATGGCAAGTCGACCCCAGCTGTCCAGGCTGAATGTGCGCCGCCCACAATCGCAATTCTATGCTTGATGGTGTAAGCCGTCTGGACACCTTCCGTAACTGGACCTTTCTTTGGCTAGTGCTCTATGTCCCCCTGGAACGTTAAAACCCATGAATCTGGATCTTGCATAATGTTAATTGATAACCGATTCCGCGTGCACCTTGCCTAACTTCTGTCCGCTGTAGGAGCACGATCGGCAGCGGGTACTGATCCAGATCACACAGAATCTTGCCACGAAGATTCGCAACAGCCATGCGTTCAACCTGCCAACCTTCTACCTGCCGCGTGACGACGATGTGCCCTGCACCATCCCCAACGCCATTGAGGACGTGTGCAAGGAGATCGACAAGGTACCGTGCAGGAAAAGCAGAGGATTAGGAACTTTTTTGGCATATTGTGAATTACGCCTGTGGCAACGACGGCATGCGTAAAAGACTCGTATGCGCGGACTATGCGGACATTGAACTACTCGGTCTCACTGCTTCGCGTGTTAGCAGGGCCTAACTGCCGATCGAACTGGGGTCATCTTATCTCTCTCAACTTAGTCTAGTTGCATTGATGTCCGACGTTCTGATTTGTCACCGTTTCGCGACTGGTTTCTCCATAGGCCATCAACATGACTGTCCAGAAGAACCTGCGGCAGCTCAAGGGCGATTGTGAGCGTATCGAGAAGCGCATCGGCGAGGTGCGAGAGCAGGACACGGCGCGGCGTGCAAGCAACGTGCAGCGGACCATGCAGGGCATGCTGTTGTCGCTGCTTACGCTCGTGGCGGCGGGCGTCATGGGGGTCCTGGTGTTCGCCCGCTTTGTGGACACGCTGTAAGTTGGGTGCTCTGTTGTAAGCGTGTTTGTTGTGCAATAATAACGAAGGTAGAGGCTTTTACTTTGAAAGCTCTTGATGGGCGTACTCAGCTTATGATCTAAGTGGGTTCGCATGGCACATCCTTAATTGCAAGGCAGACGTTTTACGAGCTCTGAAAGCTGCATGTGTTTATGCTGCCCGAACGCGGGCCTATCTGCGGCGCTTTCCCCTCTTGAATAATTAGTTAGTGCATGTAATCGCCCTGTTAAACTCAGGTGCGCGGACGCGCTGCTGGGCGACCATTGCCGTGGCAACAAGCTTGTAAACGTGCTCCACCGGGCGCAGCCCCTTGTGGTGAGGAACTCCACTGCACTCTTCGGGGCGGCGGCCGCTGTGGTGCTGGTGCTCATGGTCATTACGAAGGTGCGCGCATGGCTTGGGACCTAAGGATCATGAAGGAACATGTGTCGGGGCGGCGTGGATTTTAAGTCGATGGGTGCGTACATTGGGCAATGTCCGGCCATGGCTGGAACTTAAGCATTACCCGATTATTAATCGATGGCCACGTCACTAGGTCACGTGGCCATTCCCAATAGTCACGCGGCCATGCCCAAGTATAACTGCAGCGCCTGCTTATTGGCTGTAAGAACATGCTGTCCTGTTTGCGGCCCTATCTCCTTCGGAACTTCTTGTCTGTAGCTCACCTGGCGCATCCAGCCCATCCTTAGCAAGAAAGACCTCAAGAAGCTGGAGGACTACCGGGTGTACGTCAAGAAGATTGCGGAGCAGGAGGAGGGTAGGTTGAACCGTGTGCTACCACGCACTTGCCAGCCGGAACTTTGCATCTGTTTGCTGTTATGCGGCTACCCCGCCAATGTCCACGTTCGCTAACAATCAGTTCGCTAATCATTGCAACCGGGCCACGCTCCCTGCAGGACTGTACCAGGAATACTTCAAGACGCTGTCGTCTATGGAGCACTGAGGCGTCCATGCTGCGACCTGTACCCAGACTGAGTGGACGTGACGCGGGAACGACTATCAAAGCTCCATGGTTCTATGGCTCGAGTGCGGTTTAGCTGTGATATATAGGTAGTTACGGTAGCATGATGGGAGTGGGTAGCGACGTCCTCAAGTAGGTAGGTGCTTGTCGCCGCGGTGGCGTGACCGGGTTGTGCGTATGGCGCGGTGGTGATGGCGCCATGAACTGTGACATAGTTCGAGCAGTGTAGGCCGGCTCCACGCGTCCCCTGCATGCCTAAATACTTGTGGATCAGCTACGAAGACTATCGTGGCTCCAAGTGACCCGAACTAAGAAACTCCATCGACAATAGGCTCGGTTCCGTTGACGAAGACGGTAGCTTGGCCGAGGTGTGCTCATACCGGAGACGGTGGGCTGTCCTGCTGAGCAACGTGGCTTGTGCAGAGTGGAGTGTGGACCGCAATAGATACACAGGTATCGTGGAACGAGGTTGCTCTTTGTCGAGCGCCAGTAGAATGAGGATGCTCTTGCCGCCCCAACGGTGATGTTGGAAAGGTGTGTGCCTGTTGGTCAGGCTAAACCATGGTCCTATTGGCGATGACCGGTTATTAATGGACGGCGCCCCGTCAATTACGGCAGCTTCAGCGCGTGGTTTTTCGAAGTATAATTCCTCAGGCACGCTGCACCCGCTCATAGACGCGTGGCGCTGATTTCAGGGAACCAGTACGAAGAGTGCTGTTGCAATCTGCCGTTAGTGTATTATAGAGTTAAGACGGTAACGGCTCTCACAAGTTAGAGAATTAGTCAGTACTAATCAAAAATCCGCTTTTGGAAGGAGCAACGGCGGCTTCCTATGGCTGGGCCTGGATCTGCCCCGTCCATACTCAGGACTCTCCTGAAGTACTACTATTGCCGTTGTTCCTATCTCTAACTAAGCTTGCATATACGCGGGCGTCGATTAGAACTGCCAATCCAGCAGCTTAGCAACAGATATGCAAAAGATCGGCACTTTGTGGACCTTGGTTGGCAGGACAAATGAACCGATCACGTAAATGCTGCTCACGGTCAGATCGACTAGATCCTTCACATGGGACCGCCGGAAAGACCAGGAAATCCACTTGTCACTGACTAGGACTGGGGCCTCTACGACGGGACAGACAACTGTTCCCCTTACTTGGAATGTGGAATATTGGCGCGATATCCGGGGATCTTCTGTGTAAAGGAGGACTCAAGGGGACCATGCACCCATACCACTATTACTAATGCAATGCAGTAAACTACATACCTTTGATAGCAAATGTCTTAATGTGCAAGCGCAGCGAATACGAAGTGCGACTCGGACAATGTGGAAGTCCACAACTTCCTAAATTCCACACAGGTCTGAGCCATCAGTCCAATAAGCATGAGTCCGTTTAGGCGATTGGGTCGTAGCATCCTGTGGACTGCAGGAACCTATCATGTTGTGTTCATGCTTGCTTGAGTTGGATTACAAATTCCCACACTAGCTCCATTTCATAGCTGTCAAAGTATTAACTGTTTTAGGCCAAGTAAGTTTGAGATCTATTAAGAGTTTGTTTGAAGACGATTAGCGCCAAAATTGGTACGATTTATCGAAGGGAATTGTCACTTAAGCCAGCAGAAACATACAGCTGATCATCTACTGGTAGAGGAAACTGAGTGGACTTTTTAGCATCTCTGTTCAGATCGGCCGTAAACCCCTGCACCTTGCAAGCCTGAAGCCGTCGATCACTGTTCGTACTTCGCGCAGACTTTGTCGAGCGCGCGAAACCAAAAAAAATCCATTTCTATGCTGTACCAATCCAGTACTCCAAACGTAGACGCAAAACGCTTTAATGTTTACCGGGCTTAGCATCTCAATAGGTTAGAGAATGGCTACAGCCATAGACCAAGATGTTCATAACAATCATACTATTTACATTTGCTGATGAGAAATCGCGACGCACTTACATTAGTTCATGAAATCGCAATGTAAACGTAAGTAATGGCTTTGTGCGGGTGATGCACTCGTCGTGAACCGCGGAAACGGTATGGAAGGAACGAGAGGTAACAGCAACATTCAAAACATATTAAGACGTGGGTACCACGACGAGTAAGTGCCAGCAAACAAGGCTCAGCTCGTCCAACTTGTTTGACTCCAACGTGAAATACGGTCTGTATGCAGGGACGACCAACGAGACCAAGATGCTGCCAAACAAATGGCTATGGGATATCTGGGACAAGGCAGTCTCCTCCATGGCGTCTTGCCTACGCCACCTGTCGAGGCGCCTGCGTCCGGCCAACCGGCTTTGGGACATGACCATCAAAGCCTTGCACAGCCGCTCCCTTTCCAACAGTTTGGTATGCCAATTCAAGCTCAGGGCTCCCTGCCAGCGGACTTCGGAGCAGGGACAACCGCTCCTCGAAGCGCGCTCCTAGGCCACCTCGCAGCAGCCCTGGTAAGGTGGGATTCTGAGTTTCGTTCCCATACTTTCTATCCAATAGCATGGCATCTCATCACACTCGTGCAAAGAAGATATCCATCACGTTCTTCTTTAATGAGACGGGCAGGACTTGGTAGCCGCTACATGCAGCGTGAGGTCATGCAGAATAGACACGCCTAAGTGCCGGCACAGGGCCCCTAAGGAGGCCAAGGAAAGTACGTCAAGAAAGATGATGAGGTACGAAGGCTAACAGGCCCCCCCAAAACGCACCTCTAGAGATCGTGGGGCCCTCATCAGTACAGGACTTGCGTGGCTTGAGCCTCACATCCACAGCGTTGCCTCACATCCACAGCGTTGCCTCACATCCACAGCGTTGCGCCGCTGTGTTTCACCTTGTATCTCTGTATGTATGTACGTGTGTATGTAAGTGTGCTATATCTGCACCCTCTGCTGCCCTCCTTTAGGATCAGCGCTTCGATCATCGCCGGCTGTCCGAGGCCGACTCCTGGCATGCGGAGATCCTGCGGACAGAGGCCTCCTACCTGAGCCAGCGCAACTTTGACATGGCCAAGGTAAACAACGGAGATGTGGCACAGGAGCCCAAGCCCTGCGTGTCAGTAAGACCGTTACAATGACCCTAACAACTTGGCTGTGTGTGTGCGTTTATGTTTTTCCTTTCAATTGACCGTACACGTATCGAGACCGGTGTCCGATCCCCCTCTCTTGCGTGTGCAGCGGGAGAGCTGTACGGACAGCTCCGCAGACGTGGAATACCTCCTGGCTGGCGGCCTGAGTCTTCCGGCTATGAGGTGAGCTGTCCGCCGCCGGCCTTAGCTCACCCGCAACCTCCCATCACAACCTAACCCACCAACTAACAAAGTTCATTATCAACCACTCCTGGTTGCCCGCTCCCCCCTGGACATTGCCTTCAGAACGATCACGTTGCCCGGGTCCGGTCGTCCTGAATCTTCCCCTCCCGCCTCTATCTCTCGTCTTTCTGTCACCCTTTACGGAGCCGTTCTCGCCGCAGTTGTCCTCAGCTCTGGTACAGGAATCTCTCCTGTCCTGCCCCAACAAGCAACGTGGCTCCCAGCTGCTAGACGTGCCTGCTTGCCTGCATGTAAACTTTCCGTCAATCCATCCGTCTATCCTTCTCTCTATGCTATAAGTACCCTATCCCTACCCGTCTTACTTCCCCTCCGCCTATCATCCTGCACTCCATCGCCGCTTCAGACGGACCTCCAGCGCCACCACCTCCCACGTCCTGGCGGCAGGCGGCCTGCTTCCCGCTCCACTCCGGCCGGGCTCCATTGTTGCTACCGGCAGTGGCAGCCTTCCGCCTCCGCCACTGTCCAGCGGTCCAGCGACGCACCTGCCCTCCCTCAACTCGGGCATCGGACCGGCAGCCGGAGCTCACCACCACATCACACAACTGCGGCACCCAGCCGCCCTCCAAATGCCGCCCCACCCAGGTCTCAACGCCCCCCAACTACAGCGACCGGAGCTCCCACAGTCCCAACAACACCTGCAGCAGCAGATATCGTCCCATGCCGGCAGTGTGCCGTCCGCGCAGCAGTCCGGGGTTCTCGGGCTGCGCGAGCCCACACGCTCCGAAACCCTAGGCTCTGGAATTGGTACAGCAGGTGGATCCCGACAGGATCGCTGGTCGGAAGAGGGAGCCTCCATCGGCGGCCTACCCCGCGGCCAAGCCGGCGGCTTGTCTATGCCGCCGCTGCGGACGAGCGCTGCCCCGCCGCTGGGCCAGGAGCGTCTGGCAGCAGGAGCTGCCGCCGCCGCGGTGATGGAAGCAACGGTGGACCAGTCCCTCCCGGTCCGCGATCTGCAGCCCCAACCCCAGCATGGCCAGCTCTTCGCCGCTTCCTTCGGCTGCATCTCTCCCGCAGTGCCCCGAGGGTCCGCCAGCCGTCATGGCTTGCAGGAGCCCGGACATGGACACGGACCTGCTCACCCGGACCCCCGCGGGGTCACCGCAGGACACGGAGTGGCAGGTACGGAGGCCGTAGCCGCTGCTGCAGGAGGTGTCAGCGGGCGAGTTCCGCCGGTGCTGCTCACGACTACTCCAGGCCCCGGGCCCGACCGCTTCCAGTCGCCCCTGGGGCCTGGCGGGTTACTATCGGACGCCGGTGGCGGCAACGTTGGCTGTGTTGGCACTGTGGCAGCAGCGTCGGCTGAGGTCGACGACAGGCACATCTCCGCTAGCGCTTTCTTGGAGTTTGCAGGCGAGGCAGGGCTCTTCACCAGCAGCGGTGGCGGTGGCGGCGGACTCAACTGCGGCCGCGGCGGCGGTGGCGGCGGGGACTCCCCGCGCTCACCCTCACACCTGTCCGTACTTGCGGCCATGCAGCTGTCTCGTCAACAACAGCAACAACAACAACAGCAACAACAGCAACAAAGCTTGTTGCTGCAACAGCAGCAGCAACAGATCCGGCAATTATCGCGGGGAGGCCTGTCTATGCAGCAGACAATGCAGCCGGGGCCCCTGTACGGCGGCACCTCCGTACCACAGCTCATGCGCCCCTCAGCCGCCATGTTCACCGCAGCGGCGGCAGCTGGGCTCCAGGAAGGCCTCCCTCGCCTTCCAGGAGCAGTAGCAGGGGCAGGAGCACACGGCGCTGGGAGCGGGCTGCAGGCGCCTGGCGGCGGCGGCGGCAGTAGCGGCGGATATGCGTCGCCGCCAGTGCTTGTCGCTCACGGTGGCGGCGCCGTTAGTGATGGCGGCCGCTCGCCTGTGACGGCGTCGCCTCGACACACTTTGCAACAACAGTCCCCCTACAACGCACACATTAGTCCGCATCTGCAGCAGAACTCACTACTTGCCCAGTCCCAGCAGCAGCAACAACAACAGCAGGTACAGCAACTACAGCATCACGAGCATCATCATCAACAACAACATGAGCATCAGCTACAGCTCGCACAGCAGCTAAGGAGCCATACGGATTCACCGGGTCGCGTGCGGATGCTAGCGGCCCAGCAGGTGCTACGGCCGTCTTCGCCGTACAGACTCGACGAAGTGCAACAACAGCAGCGTTCACCACTTACTGCGCCGCACCGGGCGACCTCCTCCCAGCCGCCCATCCATGCCCAACCCCTTTACCAAGCGGAAGGACACTGTCTGCAGCAGCAGCCGCAGCAGCAATCGCCCTATCTGCCGCAACAACAGCCGCAGCAGCAGCAGCAGCAGCAACAGGCAATGACGCCCTTCATGTTGCATTTGCAGCAGCAGGCAGCCGAACAGCTGCGGCGGCGGGCCGTCGGCAGCAGCAGCGGTGCTGCCGCGGCTGTACCACTGCAATCGCCACCTGCCCACCACCAACCACCACCGCCGCCGCCACCACCGCCGCCACCACCACCGCAGCAACAGCAGCAGCAGGTCTCAGCGGCAACACGCCTTGAAACCGTGCAACTGCCTCCACCTCCCACCGCCTCCGCACACCCCCAGCCGCCACAACGGCGACAGCAACAAAGCCCAGATCTCGAACACCTTAAAACTGAAGGCGGCGATACCAGCCGGCTGGGGACTGCTGGGGCAGTTGGAGGGGGAGGCGGTCGGCAACGCAGCCCCCCCGGCCGCGCCGCCACTCCCACTCCCACTCCCCGGCACAGCCGGACTTTGCCACACCCACACAGCCAACCACCAACCCAACAGCAGCAGCAGCAGCAGCAAGGGCAGCAGGTCCCAGCCATGTTAGCGGATGTGGTGCCAGATAGTACGACACCCGGCAAAGCCGACAGGTCGGGAGTGGCCGTAGCAGCCGCGCTGGCGAGGGCCTCCCGGCTCATGAAGCGCCGCCGCGCCTCGGTAGGTGGTGAGGGGGCGGGGTTTCCGCCGGCTTGCGAGCTGAATCCGAATCCGGATTGGCAGCCTGGTTTTCGGGCTGGAGTCGACTGCGTGCGCCGCCCCTTATGCCCCCTTATACATCCCGAACCTATCCGCCCTCCATGTCCTCCTCCACGTCTCGCACCGCTTCCTAACGCTCCTGAACTGAACTGCCTCCGCACCTCCCTCAACAAGCACCCAACCCTCAACAAGCACCCAACCCTCAACAAGCACCCAACCCTGAACAAGCACCCAACCCTCAACAAGCACCCAACCCTCAACAAGCACCCAACCCTCAACAAGCACCCAACCCTCAACAAGCACCCAACCCTCAACAAGCACCCTACCCTCACCCCATTGATACGCAGCCACGCTCGGTAGTGAAGCACGCGCCCGGTGTCAGCCTGGCGGAGCCCGATGCAGAGGCGGGCCAGGGGCCGGGACCCGGGCCCGGGCCCAGCAGCGGCAGCCAGCGAAGCCATCAGCCCAGTGGGGGCGGGCTCTCCAGGACCCGGTCCGCCGCGATGGCGAGTCCCGCTGGCAGCCTGCAGCGCCGTACGACAAGCCTTAGCGGCATCGGCGGCGGCCCTGTCCGGCCGGACATCAGCGCTGCCACTGCTAATGCCACCGTCACCGCAACGGCTACTGCCAACGCTACTGCGACGACCACCAGCGCCCGGCTGTTCTCTGAGAGTGAAGGGGAGGAGGTGCAGCGGCGCCGTCGCGACGGAGAGGATGGTGAAGAAGGCCACGAGGTAGGCCGCGAGGTGGCGATAGCGGCTGGCGATAGCGACGACGAGGACGGTAGCTCTGACGGGGCCGACTCCTCCCCGGATACCGCCACCGTAGCCCCCAGTGGCGGCGACGCGGACGAAGCGTACGGCAGAGTGGGATCGAGCCGCCGCAGCCGTACTGCCATCAGCGGGGGCGTTGGCGCCGCCGCCGCAGCCAGAGGCGGACCAGATGCCCCCGACGCCCCCGTCGCGGTGGGCGCGTCAGCTGACACACAGATGATCATCGACCCCATCACTGGCCTGCCCCGTAGACGCGCTATGACGCAGGAAGAGCGTATGGTTCGTAACCGTGAAGCTGCGGCCAAGAGCCGGGCTCGCCGTCATCAGTACCAACAAAACTTGGAGCAGCACATTCGGGCCCTACAGCAGCACAGCGCTGAGCTCCGGAAGCTGCTAGAGGCGCATGCCGTACCGCTGCCGCCGCACCTCCTGGAGCAGCAGGTGCGGCTGGGAGACGGGCTGCCGCCGCCGCCGCCGCGGACGAGCCCACCCCGCAGCCGCAAGGGCATCGGCGGCAGACCCCGGAAGTACCCCCTGAACCCTGACGGATCCAAACCGAGCCGCAAGCGCCGGCGGACGTCCACCGGTACGGCATTGACGACGGCAGCGACGCCCGTACCGGCTGCCAGAGGTGTGTCAGCCGCGGCAGTCGAGACAACTGGCGGGGCCTCGGACGAGGACGTCAAGCCGCGGCGGGTGACTGCAGGCCGCCGTACATCAACAGCGGCCGGGGGTGGTAATGACGGTGGAAGTGGCGAGGGTGGTGACGGTGGAGGAGGTGAGGAGGGGGTTCGTGGAGCCGGCGGCGGCAACCGTGGCGGCCGCGGCCGCAGGGGCCGCGGTGGCGGCGGCAGCCGAGCGCGGGGCCGTGGCATCATTGGCGGCGGCGGTCGTACCGGCCGGAAGAAGCTGCAGAGTGACGACGTGGAGGAGGACGATGCGGGATCGGGGCCAGGAGCCGCAGGCGGCGGAGAGGAGCAGGTTCGCGACAGCGGCGAGGAAAGGCTGGAGCAACAGGTCGTAGCGGGGGCCAGTCCGCGTAGCGCTGGCGCCACCGCGGCCGCCAGCAGCGGTGGCGGCGGCGCCGGCGGCGCCGGAGGCCTTGATATTAGCCGTACAGTAAACAAGGCTGCTTTGGCCACCGAAGAAGCGCTGACTCCGCCTCGCCCTCGGCGGAGTACGACGACGTCGGCGGTGGGTCGACTCGCGACGGAGGCGGCGGTCGACGCTGTCGACGGTGATACCGCGGTAGTGGTGGTCGGCCAATCGCCCCTGCGACAGCAACCTTTTGAAATGGCGCCTTTTCCGCAGTACCGGTATGCATCGCAGCCGCCGGTGCCGCCGGTGGCGGCGCCCCCTCCGCCCAGCTGCGTCCCGACGTCCCCTGCCAACCTCAGACCAGGTGGAGAGGTTGCAGCAGATGTAACTCGACTGGATACGTTTGGTCCCGCTGAAGCAGACGCATCCGCGGCTGCTACAGCCGCGGACCCCGCTCAGCCGCCCTTCACAGACCCCTGGCAACTGCCTCAGTGGCCGCCGCCGCCGCCGCCGCCGCCACCGCTTATCCCCGGCCCCCCCCGTCCATCACTTGAATCGCCCGCCGGCCCCTCGGCTCGCCCCGCAAGGGCCCCATGCGCGACAGACCCACGAGTCGCTGCCGCGACCGCCTTGCTGCCGCCGCTGCAGCCCCAGCCGCCGCCTCACGGCGAGTCCGGTCCCGAGGCACTTGGCCTGGATGATGTGGCTTCAGGAGGCGCACAGCCGGCCATGGTGCTCAGCCCCGGAGGTGTCGGGGGTGGGGACGGGGACGGGGGGGTGCTGGGGTCGCTCGCGAGCCCGGGGGGGGACATCGCGGGCTCCTCCGCGGATGGGGGCAGTGCGGGGCCCTCCGGCGGGGACATGGGTCCCTTCGACATGCTGGGATTGGGTTTCGGAGACCTGCTGGGTGCTGGGTTCCTAGGCCAACAGTGAGAAAGAGGAAGAGGCAAGTACGGGCGATGTGCGGACTTACGTCCGGTGACGAATGCGACGGCAGGGTTGTGCTACGATGGAGGAGGATGTCTGGGTATGTATCTTAATAGGCAGGGGGGAAGTAGCGGCCGTGGAGGCCTAGGCTGGCGAGGGAAGAGCGTCGGGAGCTGTGGGAGTGGAACCGCTCGATATTGCGGTCGGGGCATGAGGGGCATGGGAAGTGACGTACGGATGTGTAGGGTACCGGCTGTCCAGGAGGCAGGGTATGGTACTGCGAAGTGACGGCGTGCACGGCGGAGGGGTTGTAATGAAAGCAAAACAAGTGTTGTGCGTGGATGATGATGTCCTGGAGGTTCATCTGGAGAGCCTTATCAAAAGCGCCTTTGGCTGCTTTTTAGCTGCTCAAAAGCCCAACTGCGGGATGCGGCTAAAACTGCGTCCTGTTTGTTGAGCTTTTGGAGCTTTAGAGGAGAATGGCCGGGTTGGTCCGGATTTTGTCCACCTTCCCCTAGGGCCAAAGGCTTGGTCCATTTCCCATAGGAAGAGGTGCTTACGAAGTACGAGAAGAATTGCACTTATACATAACTGCCTCCATACTGTTTGGCAAGGATAGGATAGGATTGCGGCCTTGGTGCTAATCAACGCAGTGTTTTCTTTCTTTAAGTTTCCTCATGGCATGATGGCGAGGAGCGGAGTGCGCTTGAGGAGGTGTCTTGCATATGGTTGCTTTTGTCAAGGCTTGCATGAACGCAGCGTGATCACGGCGCGCCAACCAGAGACAGATGGAGATGTGCCAACCAACGTTGCGCATGCACCTAAAGCAAATGCGTGGCTCCACTATGATACCAGTCCAACGGATGCACAAGAAGGGAGCATTGCAGGATATGTCTTGTCGTGCTCTTGATGCATCAGCGCCGAATTAGTTTCTCGGCGCCAGGCGCGGCCTTAGATCCCTTTTTTTCCTTTGAAACCGGCGCTTCCATGCATACAGAATTATCTTATCGAATATGTGGTCAAAGACGAAAACGTACTCTACTATCGCATCGCTGAAGTACTGCTTGGAGTGCTTTTGAGTTTTGTGACCTCCGCATCTGCGGTAGACCTCCTTTATAGACATTGGCCATCAATAGGTCGTTAGCTTGAGGGCGCTTGTTCGGGAACAGACGTTCCGTGCAAGCGCGCTTTGAAGCGTTAGTGGAGTTTCCGCGTGAAGTCCCAACCACACGTTTTGTCCCCTGCCGCGCATACGTGAGCGGGTCAAAATGGTTGCTGGATATGCAAAGTTTGCGTAACAATACTTTCCGCTTTGCCACAACCAGCGGAATTACAGTGATCAAGGCGTCTGCACGTCGCCGCTTTTTATACATCGATACTTAGCTGTCTTTGGATTATTTTTCGGTCAATCTATCACCCGATGCACTCGCATCACTGTATTGCGCAGCAACGGGCACGTTTTACGGGTCTGTACTGCCATAACATCGTTGCTTTGCATCGTCGGTACCGGAGTGAACATCCCATGGACCCACGGGTCACTAGTTAAATCTGTGGCGGGCTTTAATCCGCCATATTCCAGCTCGGGTCACCCCAACAATATGTAATCTATCATTGTTAAAGGTCAACCCAACATTTTTAATTTCCAAACTCCTCTCCTCCTCCGCCTCAGCAGCAGCAGCAGCAGTTACAGAAGCTGCAGCTTTACTGTGTGGTACATCTACATCTGTTGGCTCCTCTAAGGTCGCTTTCTCGTCGCTTCCCGAATCTCTTCGCCCATTATCTAAACAAAAGCAGATAAGCGGTTTCATTGACACAGGAACAATGAGCGCCGCGAATCCAATCGCCGAGGCTGTCGGCGGCGGTGCCGTGAAGCAAGGCGCCGCCTCCGCGGCCGGCTTCGACGTGGCGCCGATGGGTCCCGTCCCTACGGCCTCCATCGCAGATACCCCCACGCTCACCGCGCCCCCCATCTGGGTGCCGCACACGTCCAAGGTGAGCGCCACCCTCTCCCTGCAACTCCCTCCCGGGCCAAGGGGCACCACACAGCCCCCCCCCACCTCCCCCCTCCTCCACAGGCTCCTTCCCAGAGAGCTCCTCCCGCCACCTACTGCTGCTACTGCTGCCCACTCCCCGTGTCAAGTACACGCAACAGCCCCCCCCCTGTTATCCCTGATTGCCCTCTCCCTGTCCCTCTCCTCTGCGGCGGCCCCGGCCCCATAAGGCCCCCCCGCCACTCCGCACCCCCTGGAGCCAGGAGGAGCTCCGTCAGCGCCACCCCCCACTGCAGGAGGACCTGGTGGCGGATGTGGTGGTGGTGGGGGCGGGACTGGCGGGGCTCAGTACGGCATACCGGCTGGCTAAGGCGGGTGGGTGCCGGGGGGGGGAGGTGTGGGGGTGGGTGGGGATTACCGTACGGCGCCCTTTTTCGTTTGTAGTGAGACTCAAGGGACTATATCCGCCAACACCACTTCCCCCCCTCCTCCCTCATTCCCTTTACCCATTCTCGGCTGAGCTCAAGTGCTTTGCATTTCTATCATTTCCTTCCTTCCCTTCCTTTTTCGATGCTTGCCCTTCTTCTTCTTCTTCTTCGCTCCCGCAACCTTCCTCTTACTCCTTGTGCTGCCCTGCTTTCCTTGTCATTCGGCTTTTCAATTTTAAGGCTTCTTTTTTTCCCTATAGTCACCTTCCTTGCTTTTAGCTTTTCCATTCAGCACTTTTTCTCCTCCAGCAGCGCTTTGCAGTCCTCCTCTTGTTCGTTTTCTTGTAGCTCACAAACCGTTTTTTCCTTTCCCTCGCATGCCCTCTACCCGCTACCTCTGCCGCTTGCGCCGCCTGGCCAGGTGAGTTCGAGGAGGTTTGAGCTTTATCGGTGAATCGCGTTGCGTCGGTCGGCTGGCCGGGCTAGGATAGTTGGGTCGGTCGGGTCGGGCGCGTGTTGGGGGGTCGGGAGGAGCACTTGCATGTCACTGGCAGCTTATCACCAGCTTATCAGCCATTTTTTGACCAGCCTCCTAAATTCCGCCGCCAGGCCGGCGAACACAATTTATCCCAGCTTACGTCACCTCCTCCTTTACTCACGTCAGTTTTCATTGCTCTTCGCCGCCTTTACACCCACCTATACAATGTTACGGTTGGTTGTCCTGCTCTCTTTCCGCTCTCTTTTAATTTAGTCTTGGCGGCTAGGTAGGTCGTTTTCCGCTATCGTCATGACTACTACCACCATCATCGCGACTGGACTTCTTCATCACAACCGCCGACTGGTTAGTTGTGCCCTTGTTCTTTACTTCTGGCGCATCAGTCTTTCCTTGGCATCAGCTTCACTCGCTCGTGGTTCTTCGTCCCCCTTCCCTCTTTACCGTCCCCCCCCCCCAAAGGCAAGAGTGTGGTGGTCCTGGAGTCCCGACTGGTGGGGTCGGGCAGTGCTGGCCGGGGGCTGGGCCAGATCAGCACGTGGGCAAATGGTGAGTGTACGTCGGTATGTCTGTACCTATGTGCATTGTTTCCCGGGGGAAACCCGTCTGCTTACGTTCCCGGATATGTACGACAAATGTATTGAATCTGTACGGCACAGACACGTACCGGGAGATCGAGCGGGTTGCGGGGCTGGAGCGGGCGCGTCAGGTGGCGGCTGCGCACGCCGCCGCAGTGGCGTTTGTACGGCAGGTGGTTTCGGACGAGGGCATTGATTGCGACCTGACGGAGGTTGAAGGGGCTGTCCAGATGGACCTCTCGCCCGGAGAGCCGCACCAGCAGCGGCAGCAGCGGAAGGGCGCGGACAGCGGCAGCAGCAGCGGCAGCAGCTACATCCGGGGCTCAGAGGTTTTGCGGGAGGTGAGACCGCCCACGTGTCGTACTCCACGCTCACTCTCCCCCCGGCCTTCCCTACCCCCTCCCGTGCCATCCCCTCCCCGGTGTGTTTTCCCTTTCCACCCCCCTGGCCTCCCGACCCCAGTTCTAATTCCCCCACCCACCGCCTCCAAAGCCCCGGGGATTCCCGCCCTCCCGCCCGCAGGAGCTAGCCGCGTGTTGTCGGGCGGGGGTGGAGGGAGCGCACATAGAGTTCCGGCAGAGGGGTGTGCTTGGGGGCGGGGCCGGGTGGAAAGGGGGAGGTGGCAAGGGGGCCGAGGAGGGTTTTGCTGTGGAGGAGGTGCTGGTGCTCCCGGGCTGCCTCAACCTTCACCCCGTCAAGTACCTGAGGGGGCTGGCGGAGGCGGTTCTGAAACACGGTGGGCGGGGCAGTTGTGTGTATGTATGTGTGTACGTATGTATGTAAGTAAATGTGTAGAGGGGGAGAAATGGAGGGAGAGGGGACTCTTTTGGGGTGTGTGTGTGTGGGTTGTGGAGAGTTTCCATTTTGAGTGCCGTTGCAGTTGGTTGGTTGTTTGGTTATAGTATCCTTTCGATTGGTTGGTTGGTGTGAGTGCAGGCGCTGCCCTCGGGTACGTGGAGCGACCCACGGGTCAGGAGGCACACGGCATCCCCCGGGCTGTTGAGGGCAATCGGGCTGAAAACAAATCTGGGAGAGGGCGGCCGCCACTGGCCGGGGTGTGGAGTACGAATATCACCCGGGGGAAGGGGGAGGGGGGGGACCGGGGCCCTCCTGGGGCCCACTGCCTCTCAGCCGCCCGCAGTAGGCGGATAGCTGCTACGGCTGCTGCTACGGCTGCTGGCAGGGGTGAACGCCACCTCCCCGCTTGTGTGCCCTGACTCGCTCGATTTCCGCCGTTATTTGTGTGCTATGATATACGCCATGCGATGGTTGGCGGTTGGCGGTTGGTCCGCAGGTGGCCGTATTTTCGAGCACACTCGCGCCAAGGGCGGTTTGGTGACGGGTCCCTCGGGCGGTGTGGTCAAGACCTGGCAGGGACACATCGCACGTGCCAGGTGCTGCGGGGATCTATGTATAGATGTGTATATGTGTATATATGTGTGTGAAGGGGTATGTTTGCGGAGTTGGGAAGGCCGTGGGGTGGTGAGTAATCACCGGCCATGTGGATTAATGACCCGTGGGTCGCTAGTCCCTTGGACCTTGTCCTGGCTCTCCTGTTCCTTCCCCCCACTCCGCCCCATCTTCCCCTCCCCTTTCCCTCCCGTCTCCTTCCTCTTCCCAATCCTCAATCCATCCCCTCCCCATCCACACATACATACATGCATACATGTATAATACCTTTGCAGGGAGGCGGTTGTCCTAGCCACTCACAGCCCCATTAACCGCAACCAGTTGTGGGTTCACGACCGACAACTGCCCAGGAGGGACTACGTGGTGGCGTTGGAGGTGGGTGGTTGGGGGGGATTTCTAGGGGGGGCCGAAACACTGTAACGCATACACTGTGTTTTGGAGGCCCTCTCGCCTCTTGTGCCCCGGGGGCAGAGAGTGGAGAGGGGAGGGAGGGGAGGGGCCATGAAGGGAAAGTTGGAAGGCGCTTTGCAGACCTCCCCTTCCTCTGTCGGCCCTGTGGGCCCCTGGACCTGCACCACCGGCCCCCCCTCTCCCCTCCGCTGTGGTGTGTGGGCCCCTCTCCCCTCCGCTGGTCGGGCCCTGGGGGTGCCCCCCTCCTGGGCCCCCGCCGAGCTTGCTCTCGTCCGCACCACTTCCTCTGTGAACAGAGTGTGTATGTATGTGCATGTGTCTCCACCTCCTCTTTCCTTACTTACGATTCACCTCCCTATCCAGCCCCCAGCCACCCGCTAAAATCGAGCACACGCCCCCCCGAACCCCCCCTCTCTCTCCCTCCCCTCCCCAGGTCCCCCGGGGTGTCGTACCCCCCCACTACTCCCAGCTCATCACCCTGGGGCCACCTGCCAGCCGTACCTTCCTCCCTGCCCGCCTCCTGCCCCTGCCCACCTCCTTCCTGCCCCCCCCTCGGAGCCGGCACACCATTCGCCTGGCACCCATGCCGGGCCATCACCTGGTCGCCGGGGAGGGGGGGGGAGGGGCGGCTTCGTCGTACGAGAGCAATAAGGAGCTACTGCTAGTACGGGGGGAGCTGCACCACCAAGGCCTGAC